CCGTCATCCCCAACTGCTTTGCCCGCTCGCTGCGGCCCGAGTCCAACTTCTTCGACGTCGGCGGCCACTCCATCCTCGCCCAGCAAATGTTCTTCCGCCTCACCAAGGAGTGGAAGGACATTGACGTGCCCCTGCGCGCCATCTTCCAGCACCCGACCCTCGAGGCCCTGGCCGCCGAGATCGACCGCGCCCAGGACCCCATCGGCCTGCGCCTCGACGCCGTGCCCCTCGAGACCGACGCCCACGCCCAGGACGAGGCCTACGCCGTCGACGCCCGCGAGCTCGCCAGCCAGCTGCCCGCCAGCATCCCCGCCGCGCCCGCCACCTGGGATGCCGCCGCCGCGTCAGGGCGCGCTCCGACCGTGTTCCTGACCGGTGCCACCGGGTTCCTGGGCGCGTACATTGTGCACGAGCTGATCGAGGGGCCGACGCAGGCCAACGTCATTGCGCTCGTCCGTGCCACAGACGCCGCCGCGGGCCTCGCCCGTCTCGAGTCGGTCATGACGGCGTACGGCCTCTGGTCGCCGGCCTGGCGGACCGCCTCGCCCACGCCCCGCGTGCAGGTGGTGGCCGGCGACTTTGCGCAGCCGCAGTTTGGCCTCACCGACGACGTGTGGGCGCAGCTCAGCAGCACCGTCGACGCCGTCATCCACAACGGCGCCCAGGTCAACTGGATGCTGCCGTACTCGGTGCTGCGCGCGGCCAACGTCCTGAGCACCATGACGTGCATCCAGCTCTGCGCCGCGGGCGGCGGCGGCGGCGGCGGCGGCGGCAAGCCCAAGCGCCTCGCCTTTGTCAGCTCCACGTCGGCGCTCGACAACGACCACTTTGTCCAGCAGGCCGCCGGCCCCCACGGCACCCCGCTGCTCGAGACGGACGACCTGGCCGGCAGCCGCAAGGGCCTCGCCACGGGCTACGGCCAGTCCAAGTGGGCCAGCGAGTACTTGTTGCGCGAGGCCGGCCGCCGCGGCCTGGTCGGCGCCATCGTCCGCTCGGGCTACATCACCGGCGACCCCGTCACCGGCACCTCCGTCACGGACGACTTCTTGGTCCGCCTCTGGAAGGGCTGTCTGCAGGTGGGCGCGCGCCCCGACATTGCCAACACCCTCAATGCCGTCCCCGTCACCCAGGTCAACCGCATCGTCGTCGCGGCCGCGTTCTACCTGCCGGCCGCGGCCGACGGCGTCGCCCTGGCCGTCGCCCACGTCACCGGCCACCCGCGCCCCACGCTCAACGACTGGATGGGCGCCCTCGAGGCCTACGGCTACACGGCGCCGCGCGTGCCCTACGCCGACTGGGCCGACCGCGTCAAGGCCTACGTCGACGACGAGGCCAACGCCGTCAACGCCGCCGATGCCGGCCGCGAGTTCGCCCTGCTGCCGCTCTTCCACATGGTCGTCGGCGACCTGCCCGGCAATTCGCTGGCCCCCGAGCTCGACGACCGCCACGCCCAGCGCGCCCTCCAGCTCTACGACGCCGCCTCCACGCCCACCGCCAACGCCGTGCCCCTCGCCACCATGGGCGTCTACCTGGCCTACCTGGTGGCCGCCGGGTTCCTGCCCGCGGCACCGGCCGGCACACAGGCGACGCCCCTGCCGCAGCTCAGCGAGGCGGCTCTGGCGAACATTGCCGCCGGCCGGCTGGGCGGCCGGTCGGCTGCCAATTAGGAAGTAGGCGGTGAGCAGGGCGCATACGAAGACGCCGTGCTCAGCACGCAAGGCAATAAATGCAGGTCTGCATGTACGTGTACAAAAATTTGGGTTTACGGTATGGGAATATAAAATGACACAAGCATGTGCAATTCATCGAAGGTAGTGGCAAGGGCCATGTTCACATGATAGATATATTCACGTTGTTCAAAATGTTGACAATGCGGCCTTTGAGTGACGTTCAAAGACAACATGTAATACAAGGAGAGTGTGCAAGAAGAGAAATCGTGTCAAGGAACAGTACATTTGTTGCATTGTTCATGTCTTGCCAAGTGCAGATTTCAGTATGAATGTATTCTGCCTCTTCCTCAACACGCTCTGTTTCAACAATTCTACCGCGCCCATCACGACCGCCAAAATGTGCGAACTCCTTTACGTGACCATGTACCACACCTGCGGCCACAAGCATCGCTATACGGAGGTCACCAACTGCCCAAAGGCAACGACCATCCGCAAGGACTGTCTCGACCAAATCCGCCCCATGTCGATGGCGGATGAGACGTACGACTGTGTGTGCTTCCGCTGCAAGCGGGAGGAAGAAGTGCTGGCGGCCGCCTCGCAGGACGAGGTCGTGGAAGAAGCCAAGGAGTAAGGACGTAGAATATACGGATTGTTGTGGTGGCTTTGATTCGACACGAAATCAAAAAGGAACGACAATGTAGATTGTACTGGTAGAGCACAAAATGCTTGGTAGATACGATGTTTGCCGTCGAATGATGAAACCGCTGGTTGGTAAGTTTGTCAATAAATCAACTTCTACTCTCCCTGATTACGCTCCACATGTACGCAAAAGTGTGACACTTTGATTCCGAAACAACTTAAGAATCCGTGAAACCCAATACTCTGTTCTTTTTATTAATATGTCGCACAAAAATTACCCGACACAAATTCCACCTAACTGATTTTGTATAGTTTTGAAGCATTGGTATTCCAATGAGTTGCGGTACTGCACTTAGGAGCAAATCAAACGAATCCAACAAAATAGAATAAAGCATTGGTTTGCGGACAATGGAAAGCAATGGACAGCCAACAACAATGGGAACACTGTTAACATGTTTCGTATGGCATAATAAAGATGTTGTTCACAGGGTCTCAAAAAAACATAAAAATAACAAAACAACAAAAGAAACAAACGCCGGTTTAAAACGAGAGAACAACGTGTTTATGTTGTTCAATACATGACATTGTTCAAGTCCACTATCATGACTTTTATAAATAAAGGACCTGCCCGTTGCAATTTCACATTTCGATTTTCAGAATCATCATCAACACTCAAACATTACACATTCACTCTATTAGCCAACCTCCAACCGCCTGCACCGCCTACTTTGCGCTGCAGCCCCGACATCGTACACAACACCTTTCCTGCCAGCCACCAGAAAACACCCGCCATCATGTGTGTCTTGACCACCACGTACTACGTCTACGAGGAGTGCGGCCATAGCACGTGCAAGGTGGCGCGGACCAAGGTGTGTGTGGTGCCGGGCCTGCTGCGGCCGAAGAAGACGTGCCCACAGGAGAAATGCCAGACGGAGTCCAAGGATGTGTGGCTTCATGGTAAGTGCACGACGTGCGCCCCCTGGCGCGAGGAGCCGTAGAGGGCGGGTTGTTTGACTGGTTCGCAGTTGTGCGGCTGTGGCGTAGAGTACATAATGTGTCGAGAGTGTTCGTGGCTGGTCCGCTTACACGTTGGTGATCCGTAGAAAATTATTCAATACAATTTTTTTTATTGCAACTTCCATCTCACCTTGTACTGTCACAAGTGACATCAAGTGATATAATTAAACTGAAACAAGCCTTTTGAAACTAAAATTCTTTTGTGACATTTATTTCTCTCCGCCAGTGTTCTGTGCTCTCAATGTGGAAAACGCTTTATTGCTTTGTTTTATTTCCGCCTATTGATTTTATTGTTGTAGTAGCAAAAAGACACATGATAGAGAATACATTAGATGTGGAGCACAACATAGAATGTGAAGGAAATTGAAACGAGTTCGGGGCATTGTCGCTGTGTAGACATTGGCTTTGTGCATGCAATGAAATATGGACAAAAAATGCAACAAAAGTTTATGACAAACGAAAAAATTTACAGAACAACAGCGACAAAGAGACTTTGAGCCACTCGCCAAAGGAAAATAACAAGAAAGAACATGTGCCCATCAGAAAGCAACTCAATGACAATGAACAACAATGAAAGTCCGCAACAAGGACAACAGTTGGTGGCTGTGCACTGAACTATCGCTCTTGTGCCTTTGTAGTATTGCATGCTAGCCAGCAGTATGAGACGTTGTTGGGAGTTGGTAGATGCATACTCGACAAACGATGAAGTTGTTCACTTTGTTTCCTACGCTCTTCTGTTCTCATAGACAGCGGAAACAACTGACGTTGTTCACGTAAAACTGTTTATGAATTCTCGTTCATGTAATGTGGCATGAAATGGGTATAAATATAGACTCTGTCTCTTGCTGTTTTTACGATTCATTTTTAAAAGATCATCATCAACAAATACAACTGCCTCTTCAACAGCACTTTCAGCCTCGTTCTTTAGTTTTTACCGTGTCAACGAGTTCCTTAACCGACAGCCTCTTCAAGTCCGATCGCTCCGCTGCCATCTGACTTGCCCAATTTTCTCCATCATCCTCCAATCACCACGCCAACACTTGCCTCGCGTTCCACAATCACCGCCAATATGTGCCGCATGTCCGTCGTCTACACCCACTACGAGTGTGGTCACGTCAATACTTCGGTCACCAACGACATGTGTGATGCGGCAATTATCACTAAGACGGCATGCCCGGAGCTTCTGTGTCACTGGACCTATAGTGACGTGTACGAGCGTCTCCGGTGCCGGCTCTCTTGCGTGGCGTAGATGCGGCCAGCTTACCGGCTCTCGATGTGAGAAACAATAACGACAAGGTGACAATCCGACCGCTGGCTCGGTTGAAGACGAGGAGACAGGAAGACAGGAAGACAAGAAGCTGTGTTTGTAAGTGATCGCCCCCTTTTGAGTATTTTTTTTTTTTCGCCTCCGCTTGATTTCTTCCCTTCCTCTGCCCCCTTCCCCCTTTTGTCTTTTCTTTTTTTTTTCTTTTTTTGCTTGTATGTTTCAGTGTAGTTTAAGTCAACTCAATACTAGCTGGTTCTACAATCCATCATCTCTCTTGCCTACTGTGATTTTACTGCTTTAATGAATAATAGACCCACTGTGGAAATGCGATGCAACTGTTGGCGGTTTGCATTCCACAATATACAGAATACCGGCTGAGAGCGACACGACCCTGTCTAGGTTACATTTCACCTCGTGTGGAATCGGGAAAAGCTAAGATCGTAGCGCTTCTTGCGCCACGCCTGCTTCTCGCCATAATCGCCACGGACGGCCACCCGTCCCCACGTGCCCGTAAACGTCAGCTCCAGCGTCCCGCAGCCGGGCGTCCCGAGCGGAATGCAGCTCCAGAGGGCCTTCTTCTGCTCCTCGCCGTGCACGTCCTCGTCCTCGTGCCCGTCGCTGATGTCGGCGCTGCACTGCGCGTAGAACACCTGACACGACTGCCAGTGCCTTTGCCCGCGGGAGGAGCGGGGCTTGGTGCGGTCGTAGCTCGCGGGCCGCACGCAGAGACACTGTGGGCGGTCAAAGACGGTCGTCTCGTCGACGCCGACGCGACACTGGCCCAGAGCGCGCTGGGCCCCCGTGGCGTATTCGACGAGCAGGCCGCGGTCGAAGCCGTACGTGGGGTCGCTGAAGACGGTGATGCGCGCCACGGGCTTGTCGATCGGCGCCGTCGACAGAAAGTTGCTGTAGTCGTCGGCCCGGGCGGGCTCGCGCGGGGGTAGGGCGCCAAAGGGCGGCGCCAGCGTGACGGGTGACGGGGGCCGTGGGATCGCGTCGTACGCCCCCGCGACGGCCAGCAATTCCGAGTCGCTGATGGATAACACCAACGAGATGGGGGGCCTGGCGGCCACGACCGTGTCGACCCGCGGCGCGTCCAGCATCGGGCCGACCGAGACGTCGCCGGCCAGTCGGAAGCGGAAGAGGAAATTTGCGTTGCAGTAGACGTATGCGTTTCTGTCATGGTCTTCGTTCTCCGTGTCCTCGTCCTCCTCGTCCTCCTCGTCCTGCTTTTTTTTCTTTTTCTTCTTTTTCTTCTTTTTCTTCTTCTTCTTCTTTTTCTTCTTCTTCGTTGCCGTTAGCCATCGGTGTCAGCTGCGCTTCTTTCTTTGCCTTTCTCCTGGCTCGCCGCTTTGCTTCTTTCTCTGCTTTTTTCTCCACGGCGTACGCTGCTACGTCCGCCAGCTCTTCCTCGGCGTCTTGCCAATGGCGGGCATTCCGTCTTGCTCCAAAGGCCAGGACCCGTTCCCCGGCCGCCCGTGGAATGGGAATGTACACCCAGTTCACAGCACCGGGGTCCAAGGCCAGTTGAGTGAAGCGGGCCGCCGGCGTTGCCGGCGTATGTATGTGCACGGCTGCGACTTTGCTGTACACAAACATAAGCGTGATGCCGTCACAGTGGTCGAGCGGCACCGCCTGAAACTTGGAGGTTGGGACAATGCAGGAAAATATGAAGCGACAGTCGGCCGAGACATCCGGCGGCGTGGGTGTGTCCCAGATGTGGAGGCCCTTCATCTTCTTGGGCACCTCCAGGCGGGCCATGCCATACTGCAGAGTCAGTGGGAGTGTACGAATTGTATAGTAAAATACATCCAAAGTCAATCGTGACCCACCTTAACGTGTATCTTGACACCCCTCACGTCGGCTTGGTCCACGATGGTGTACGCTTCCGTATGAGAGGCTCGATCGTGCGTGGCGGCCGGTCGAGCCGCCAGCCGCTGGACAGATTTCAGCCCCCGGGCATCGATGGTCAGCAGCAGAATCGGGTGGTCGGCCGCGCTGGCTGCCTGTTCCGAGCGAAAAAGGACCACAGAGCTGCCCCGATCCCAGGCAGCAACCTCGGCCAGGGGATGGGATGCGAGCTGGGCGGTGTTTTCGGCGAGAGGCTGGCCTCGGTCGAGCACTGCTGCGTAACGCCAGACCTGGCTGTCGGCAGAGTTCTGGAGGACAATGTCGACCAGCTCGGGCGGCAGTCGCGTCAGTCCACGAAGGAGGCTTGACAGATCCGGTTCCTGCCCCCCTTCCTGTTCCTGGCCATGCCCAGCGGCGATACTGGCCCTCGCCACCCGGTCGACGGAGATTCGCCGGTCTGCCTGTCCCGGTTCGTCCAGCCAGAGCCGCGCCGCCTGTCGCCACGGCCGGCGCCAAGCAGCGGCGATCCAGAGACGGTCCAGGGCGTCTTGGCTGTCGAGGCCAGCACCGTCGCCGCCTCTCCCGCAGTGCTTCCGGAACACAATGCGGCAGTCCACATGCACGGTGCAGGCCTCCAGCATGACCGTGCCCTTGGTGCACGAGGCGTTGCGGCACATCATCGGCTCGTTCTTGTTGTTTGTCCCCGGCTCGTCGTCCGGATCCAGTCCGGCCGCCACCTCGCCGTGGAAAAATGCATACTGGGGATACGCAAACGGCGGCGTGCGGCGACGGTACCGCATGGCCCGGTCGACGCCGAGAAGCGCCGTGCAGGCGTCGCCGGCCTCGAGCGCGGTGCCGCAGAGACCGCAGTGGGCGGTGAGGCCGAGATGCAGGGGCTTGTCGCTTTCGCGGCGGGCAAACATGGCTGTGTGTGTGTGTGTGTTCTGTCGTAGGTCTGACGACGATTAACAAGAAAAAGTGTTGAACGCGAAGGATCCCAAGCACAGAAGATTAAATAGGCTCGAATCAGCACTTGCAACTTTGGTGTGTAAGGCTCGCCCCACCAATCACAACAAGGACAGGGGTAGCTGCTGCCTGCGATTGTCGTACGATGTAGGTCGTATTGCAGTACTCTTCACCTACACGCCGTCTGGGCATGGTATCCGGTCATAATCGGTACTTGCAACGACAAACTCCCAATGATTAACGGTTTGATTCAGTCTTGGCGACGTGAATGTCCGTCATACCCAGTGTCCACGCGGTCACTGTTGGAGAGCAAACGGATGTTTCGATTGGTAAACCGCCGGCTGATGCGGAACTTGCGCACGACAGAGCGACGGGTATCCATACCATCTACACACCAACAGGATCACTCGGTCGAAGACAAGGCTGTCCACCGAGACGTCTCGAGAATCAGTCGGCCTCGGCCGCGCAGACAGCGCCGTTTCGGAACGGGCCGGCTCTGTATTTTTGGCTTACATGAAAAGTGGAACCACTTGTAGTATAATTTAACTGCATAAGTGAATATCCAACATCTTTGTTCTTGTCATCAAGAAAACAAAGCAGCGAACGTTTCTCCAAGCATTGGACAAACGTGTACAAGATAACGTGGGGGTGGATGCATTTTGGAGTTGACACCGGCTTCGCGGATGACGTGGCAAAATTAGTCATCAAGACCATTCGTTGTTTTCCAGCATCATTCAGGAGGAGGGGTCGTCGGCCATGGAAAGTGAGTGTCTCTCAACATACGGAGTAGAACGCACCATACGGCAACACGAGTTCGCAACACCAAGCCAAAGCAGCCATGCCTAGTTACTCGGGAAGCGACAATGCTTATGTATTAGAAGCGCGATGCCTGCTCTGTCGGTTTCAATTTGAGCCTGGAGACATATATATCGCCGGTGCGCCTGCTCACCCTCCTCTGTCATGACTCTGTTTATTTTGTGCGTCTCGCATGTCATACTTAACACCAAACAGACTTGCACGGCAAGAGATCAAATCCCCTCGAGTATATGTACGTGGGCCATGTCGCCGTAGATGAAGTTGCCGGAGTGATCATTCAAGTACTCCCGGGCGGGGCAAAAACGACGTCGCCCAACTTCTCAACAGGCTACCATGAGTCGTGTTTGAACCGTTGGGGACCTGAACTTCTCCCATCGAGCATGAGTATTGGCACGCTCTACGAATTTTCTCCACCACATACCGACGACCGCCGTCGATGGCACCGGACGCGGCTACATTTGGCGACCGAGCTGCCCAAACTCTTTCCAGACTCCTTTCTACCGACTGAGTTGTGGCACAAGATAGCCTCCTACAATGATATCGTGCAATTGTACGCTGTCGAGGCTGTGCGTCAACTCTGGGAACACAGCCGTAGCTGCAGTGCCGAGCTGGATTTGTCCTTGGGTATCTGGGCGCACTACATGTTTATTGACGGGGTCCGTTATGTCGAACGGCTCACACGGGTCCCGCCGACACCGAATGTTGGCCAAACCGACCGTACTACATGCCTGAAGCTTCTGGACAGCGACTCTGTCTATGCCAAGAACATTATCTACGCTTTGGAAGACCACCTCGGCGTGCGACAGATTGTGTTTGCCTCCCGGGACGAGGACCTTTCGCGGCTGTCAGACGATGTACAGACGGCGAAGAAAAGTGACCACGTAAACAACTCATGGTGGCGAACGGTGAAACTCGGGCCCGGACGCCGTCTCCAAGTCTGGTCTGATGTATGTTAGGGCTTGTTACTATGCTATTTTTGTCGACTTCTGGTAGTCGCTTTTTTTTTATTTGGGGACGACATAGGACAACTAACGATGCTCCATACAGGGCTTAAAAATTCGATACGTTGAAGCGGTTCCTCACAACAATGACGGCGAGAATGACAATGATTTACCACTGGCAAAATTTGTCTGGCGCGTTCCGATGCGGACAACAAAAAACCTTACGCACGTGCCTCCCACGACAAGGAACGACCGGAACGACTACAGCAGCAGGCAAATGATGTCCATTGCCTGCAACACACCAGACATTACCGGTTATTCCGCATTTTGGAGCAACAAGGAGAATACCATTATCGCCCTGCACGCGCACCACGATGGCGAAGATACGTCCTTTTACAGCCAGTATGGCCAGCTGTACGGCCAGCTGTACGCCCACGCGTTCTGGATCTACTTTCCCCTCGTGCCGGGCGAGCGACTTGTCGACGTCTTTTGCCGGCACAACTACAACGGCCACGAGTCTCCGTCTAGACGCATGGATCTGGCCTTTGGGACCAACAAGGGGCGCTACATGGCGTTTGGCCCGGTTCGTCCGCGCGCCCCGCCCCGGCATACCTCACATAACAACGACCATCTCTGGTACGAGCATGTCTGCAGCTTGCCGACGGACTCCCCGACATGTATCCATTATAACGTGTCGCCGCGTGGCATAAAAAGGCTGGTATTTGAGGATGCAAGTCTCGAGATGCGACCCTCGATCGGCCCACACTTGCGTTTCCCGCCTCCCCGTACTCGGAATGAGATGGCCTTTGCTACGACGATTTCGCTCGAGGGCGTGGTTGCCGTTACGCCGTCGTACTTTCGACGAGGAGATAAGTGCCATCATGCTATTATCGGTGGCCTTTTGTTTTCGTATGGCGATGGGCGGCCATGTGTTCCATTGTGGGATTTTCGTCTGGACAATGTGGGTGAACCCATCGACGTGTCATCGGCCCATGCATTGTATCTTGGATATTTCAGAGTCAGTCGCTTCGTTGTACACTTGGAGAAGGTTTCCGCAACACCCACAGTGGACGATGAAACAATACAGTGGCGCTCAATTTTCTTCCGGGGAAGCATGGTGCTCTGGCATACAGGTGCCCCTTCTTTACTGGACGTCAATCAAGCCGACCAAGTGGCTACAAGCCATTGACATGAGTGCCTCGACCAGCCGCTACATTGCCCATCCTGTGTTGCTTTCATAGATTGTTTGTATCGTATTTCAGAGCTTCCAAAATACATGTGTAGCGTACAAATATCCCAGTTAATTTGGCAATACAAATACTCCTTGGCTAAATCATGAGAACCGTCCATGCGCAAAGTCAAATCGGCCATTATAGCAACTCCGTGGTGAAGTATTTTTTATGAACATGCATCTCGAACTCGTTAATCTTCCTTTTATGCCAGTCCCGGAGGAAAGAAGATCTTGTCACCCCCTTTTCATCCCTGAATAACACCACATCGTGGCCGAAAGTATGGCGTTCCAGTCTAATATGAACAAAAATTTTGTTTAACATACGACTCATGATCTGGCGAGGAGTCAAGATGGTGCTGTTGTCCAATCCCTCTTGACCAGTACTTGGCCCCCCCGGATTTTCCGTGGAGGGTTCCCCTAAGTCCGTAGGATTCGTTTGGTCGTCAATGTCGGCTGCCTCGCCGTCATCGTAGGCTCCGTATTGCTCTATGCCGGAATTTGGCAGCGGAGCATTGCTCAGTAGTACGGGCGCTTCGCCGAGGGGCGGGCATGCTTTCATGTAGCTGATAGCAGTCCATAGGTCGACGGCAAGATGTGATTTGGCGTCGACATAATTGTCGGCGTTGTAGCTGCCTTCGATCGGAACGATTCTGTTATACCCTCTAAAGACAACCCCGACGCGGTATTCCGTCCCCAATCGTCGTCATGACGTATATGGACGCGAGCAAGTCAGACTCAAATGCCAGACGTGCAGCACCGAGGACCTGTTCATCAGCTTCTAGACGACTTCCATGAGAATGCTTGCTGTCGATGAACAAAAGGGAGTTCAGCGTGTGGTGGTCTGGATCGTAACGGCGGATGATGGTGTCGACGCGGCGCCGGGAATTGCTCGCGGGAGCGGACTCGCATACAACAAAGTACAAATCTTCGTGAAAATTCGCTTGCAGGAAAACCTGCCAAAAAGCAGAGGCCTTGTACTCTTCGTTGCCATATGCCTCGTCGTAAAGCTTGGACAAGACTCCAGTAGTCGGTACGATGCCCTCCATTGCGTCCATGTTTCAGTTGCGTGTCGATGGATACCGTGATTTTGTTGAAATGTTGATGATTTGCTGTGCGTAATTGGATAGATCCGTTGGATGAGTGACGACTTGAAGGCAAATGTAAAGCACCCGTGAGCAGACTTCGTATCAGCTTCAACTTTATACTGGCCGTGATGCTCCCTACGATATTACTGGAACAAAGGCAACCATATACATCCATATTTAGCATCTGATGTCGACATCGTCCATCTTGCCCTGGTGATTCTATTCCTGATCCAAAGAACAGTCACAAGGAGGTCCTGGAAGACACTCGTCTGTAGCAACATGTCGAACGGAAAGAAACAACGTATATGTGACAAAAGGCATTCGACTCGTCGCAGGGGCTTTGGCTTTGCTGCTATTTGGGAAAGCAGGAACAATCATGGCGATCATGGCGAGGGCGTCGGTAACACTGGAAATACGCGGAATATTTCGAGAACAAAATCACCAAAACAAAGCAGTAACAACCGGCGACCCGTATCGCCACGACGCTCAGTCTCAGTTCTTCTTTGAGCCATTTCTATCGATTCCGTCTCTGGTCCGTTGCTGAAAGACGAGCCCGATACGTGGCGGGATGTCAGCCGCTCGTGGGGGCCAAGGCAGGGCGTCGTGGCGTAGAGGACGGCTTCTACGACAGCCGATGGGGGCCACTGGGGCCGCTGTTGGGATCCCTGTCATCTAAAGGAACTACAAAGAAGAGTGGTGTCTATTCCCGTGCGGACATGGAACGCCCTGATGTTGGGATAGGGCGACCCAAAAGGGCTGCCAAATTTGGGCGTTCGATCCAAAGACCGTTGTGGCATCACCAGAGCAGTCATTCATGGACGAGGGTGCACTTTGTCACAGTACGACAAAACGATACGACAAGAAAAGCATGAGACACGTGGTAGTGCTCCATTGTCAAATAGAGATATCAAAGAAGTCATCCCTTTACTGCCCCTGTGTCCTGTATGTGGATAGAGTGCGTCCCAGCCCTGCGACTCCAAATCTGTCTGTTTCGACAAGGCCCTCCCTTTGGTTCCCTTGCCAGTACATGTCAAAAATAGCCGTGTCGATGGAGTCGTCGAGTGCCGCGGCCGACACGAATTCGTCCCAACAGGCGTCCCAAGATGCGCTCCAGGAATCAACGGACGGCGTGTCCTCTGTGTCCATGCTTGGCAGTCCTGACGAAGCAGAGTCAGATGGCTCCGTATCGTGTGTCCTTATGTATGCCTGTGCTTCGTCATTATGCCCACACGTCGGGCCGATCACGGCCTCCACCGTCTGTCGCGCTCGTGCCATCAGCTTGCTCAGTGGCCCCGTCAGCCTGCCGCCGCGATGCCGTCCAATAATAGACGCATGATGGGCGTATGCCGCTTCCATAGTCGGCCAAATGTTTGTCAGGAGCGACGCATCCGGGCTAGCTGCCCGCGCGCAGACGTAGCATTCGGCCAGTGCCATGGCCAGGATGTGCCACCGCACCGTCATGGACCAGCGGAAGCCCTTGCCGCGTGTGTCCGTGTGCATCAGCACGGTCGTTTCCAGGACCTGGGCGCAGGCCCGCAGCAAACCCGGCCGACCTGTCCTGGTGTCGTCGGGTTGACTCTTGTACAGACCTGCTTGGGCGCCGCCAACAAAACACTGTGTGCTGTGAAAGACGAGCCACGCAAGCGGCGAGTCGTTGGGGTCGAGACCACAGGCGAGTACCATCACCTCCCGGGTGAAGGCGTCGCACAGAGATTGGGCGTCGTCGCGGCGTTTCCTGTCGTCGTTGACCTGCCTCGCTTCGGTGTCTGCTAGTGGCACGAATTGCGACCTACGACCCAGAGCTTGCGTGCGGTACTTGAGCAACGCATATGTTGTGTCCGTCAAGCCGGTACGCTCGGCCGGCACGTCGACGTCGCTTGTCCCCGGGTGGAAATCGGCGTCGTTGACGTGCCGCGGCATGCGTTCGGCCGTCGCCTGGGCGTCGTCGGCTGCCACCAGGGGCTGTGAGGTCATGTTGAAGGCCACCTGGACATCCATCAGACAGATTGTCATCCACAGGTGCTGGCGCATCTGGCGGACGAAGACGGACTGCGTCGCCTTCGCTTGCGGCGTGTCCACGCCTAGAACACGCGCGACGCGGACGGCCACGGCCAGCAGCGTCCACACGGCCCGGCTGGGCTCCTCGACCTGCCGCCCGGCCAGGTACAGCACAAATGCCTGGAGGACGGTCATGTCGCGCGTTGTCAAGAGACCAGCACGCTCCAAAGCCGCCTCGCAGGCTTGACGCGTGGCGACCAGCAGCCCTGCCCGGTCTCGCCCCAGCAATGTCCGGCACTGTTCATCATCCATGCTGTTGACAGCCACGTACAAGACCGCCGAGTCTAGGGCGGCAACGGATGTGTGGCCCTCTGGGTAGCCAAGGTAAGATGCACCATTCACCAAGTGCTGCGCTATGGTCGGGCGGTGCAGAATCTTGAGGATCGGGTCGACCTGGTCAAGATAGACGGTGCATAGCTGGGTGACCAAGGGACGGTCCAGGAGGATGTGGCTGGGGCACGAGACGTGGCTGGGTAGAGTTGTCAGACCGAGGACAGATATGTCTCGAGGTCGGACCGGCTGACTCGACACTTCGGCGTGTGTTTGAGCCGTGTCGTCTTCCGCTTCTTCGGGGCTCGACTCCACAACATCCCGCAGCTCCTGTACAGCCTCGGTGAGTTCTTCCCAGAAATACTCAGGGTGGTGCATTACCCAGGGAGCCGATGGTCCAGCGACTGCTCGATTCGGACTGGCCGTTGTTCCCATTATGGATGGCGATGTCGACGTCGACGCCGGATCCGTGCGGCTGACAAGCGCCTCCAGTCGCCTAATGCGTCTTCTCAGATCATCGCGGGTGTCTTCAGGAGCCGTCGTTACCTTAGCCACGGCCGCATTGTTCGTGACATGCCGTCCTCGTGGCAGCCGCAGGCGGTGGACGGGCACACAAGGAACGTTGGTGGCCACACACGCAGAGCATGACGGCTGCTGCTTGTCGCACTTGATTTTGCGCGTGCGGCAGCCCTCGCAGCTCAGCTGTGGCAGGGGGACAGGGGATTGTGAATGCATGTTGCCACGGAAATCCTCCTCCTCGGTCGTTGCGGGTTTTGACAATGGCAAAGGTAGAACGGACGTGGAAGCGATCTTAAAAGCCGGTACGAGGGGCTCCCTGCAGAATGGATGGCTACTATTGGCCGCTCGGCTTTTAAGACCGCAGAAACCAGCTACCATCGTGTAAGACGACGTCGCCACAGGTACATCTTCTGGCCGACTGTTGTAGCTGCCTTTGTATTTAATACAGACGAGAGAACCAAATAATATGCTATTCAATCTGAATAGTTGAGTTCCAAAGCTATAACCGAAACCCTATTCACACATCATGCCCCTCAGTATTCTCATCGTCGGCTGCAGCGTCGCCGGTCCCGCACTGGCGAGTTTTCTCCAACTGGCACCCTTTCCTCCCGGACAACGCCCGCGCATAACAGTCCTCGAGCGTGCTCCAGCCGTTCGCAACCACGGCCAGAATGTCGACGTCCGCGGCGTCGGTGCCGCACTGCTCCAAAAGCTGGGTATCGAGAAAGCCGTCAAGGCATCGACGACGGGCGAGGCCGGCGTACAGTGGGTGACGTCAGCCGGTCATGTCTGGGCGGAGCTAGGCGGCGCCAGCGACGGCGACACGGGGCGGCACAATCCGACGAGCGACATTGAAATATTGCGGGGGCGCATGGCACAGATTCTGTGGAAGCGGAGCACGACGATCGCCAACACCAATGCAGTGGAGTACATCTTTGGCGACCACCTCGACGGCATTGAACAGGACCATACGACCAACACGGTGACGGTGCACTTTGCCAGAGCCGGGACCAAGCGCACTTTCGACCTGGTTGTGGGCGCCGACGGCCTGCTGAGTTCCACGCGATCCATGGTCTGGGGCCCGGACCACGAGGCAGAGTGTGTTCGTCCACTCCACATGTACGCTGGCTTCTTCAGTCTGCCGCAGGACACGGCAGCTGGCGACTGCGACTTCCGCCGCTGCTACCACACCCACGGCAGACGCCTGCTGTCGATCCGCCCGGACAAGCAGAACCACCGGTCGACGGCCTTGCTGACCGTCGTCAACGAAACGGACGAGAGACTGGCCAAGGCGGCACGGGGCCACGGCAAGACGGTGGTGGCCGCCCAAAAAGAGCTGATTCGGGAATACTTTGCCGACGCCGGCTGGCAGGCGCCGCGACTCGTACGGGAAATGATGGCCTCCGACGACTTTTACTACAGCATGGTGGCGCAGGTCAAGATGGCGACGTGGCACCGTGGACGTGTTGTCCTGCTCGGCGATGCGGCCCACTGTGCATCGCATCTCTCGGGAATGGGCACGACCCTGGCACTCTTGGGCGCATACCATCTGGCCTCGTCTCTGGCGCGACACGCCGACGACGTGGAGACCGCACTGGCCGCCTACGAGGCCGACATGCGCCCGCACGTCGACAAGGCCCAGAAGCTCATGCCGTGCTTGCTGCGCATCCTGTCGCCCGCGACGACCTGGGGCGTGTGGCTGGTGGACACGACCATCCGCTTCCTGGTGTGGTCGCGGCTGTTTATTCTGGTGCTGTTATTTAACGGCCCGGACGCAGACGCAGAAGCCTTGCCCGAGGACGGATTCACCCAACCGCCAGAGTACGAGGAGTAGACGACGAAGGTGGCCTTGTATACGTATTGCATATCTCTACTCAGTCTCATGTATAATAACAGAATATCATCATACTGTTTGCGTCCCCGAGATTAACCACATAAAAGAGTGAGAAAGAAAATTGACAACGACTACAACAAAGGAAAACAGTACCGTTGAGGAGACACAGCAGATCCCCCCATCCCCCAACCACCATCCCTCACATGCCCGCCGTCATGCCGCCCGGCAGCTCCGACAGCCAGCCATCCAGCTTCTCGTTGACCATGTCCTTGACCGAGCACTTGTTCTGCTGCGCAATCGTCTGCGTCTTGAGCCCGGACCCGGTCACGTACGCGTGCGCGTCCATGGCCTTTTGCAGCGAGTTGTCCTTCCACCCAAACATGTAGTCGGCGTGCGACCCGTAGCCCGTCTTGTCGCCGTTGCTCCACACAAACGGCTGGCTGCCGTCCTCGGGCCACAGCTCCTTGGCGTTGAACGGCCGCGTGTCCCAGACCGTCTCGAGCATCAGCTGCGGCAGCTTGACCGGGTGCGACGCCGGGCACGGGCCGCCGCTCTCAAACGTGCCGCTCGCCGGGTAGGCCACGTGGTCCTGGTGGTTGGGCGAGTCCAGGTCCTTGCCGTTCCAGCACGTCGGGAAGATGTGGTTGGCCATGATGCCCGCCTTGCACGGCGTCGCCGGAAAGTCGAGCGTCTCGGGCGCGCGCGAGCTCGCGTCCGCCATGCACGTAAACGTCAGCTGGCGGAACTTTTGCGCCTGCGTCCGCGTGTGGAACGACGCGTCGCCCACCAGCATGCGGAACCCCTTCTTGAAGGCCGTCACGCTCGACTTCTGCCCGTTGTCAAAGAGCGCGTCCGACATGTAGTAGACCACCATCCCGCCGCCCGTCGTGCCCTCGAACCCCGACTGCGGCATCCGCTTGACCTGCGTGTACGACCCGTTGCGCGCCTTGAAGAAGAGCGTCGCCGTCCAGTAGTTGGAAAAGTCCTCGGAAAACGAGCACGTCGTGCACGTCGACTGCGCCGCCAGGTCGTGCGTGGCCACGTCCATGGTCACATTGAACGAGTTGCCGCCGATGACCTGGTGCAAGTGGCTCGACGGGCTCATGCCCGGGTTGACGAGCGGGTCGATGCGCTGCACCGTCAGGCTCGAGCAGCCGAAGCGGATCAGCGCCGACGTCGGTGCCGTCCAGGCAAAAGCGGTCAACAGAGCGCTCTTCATCGTGGTGGGAGTACGAGACAGGGAGTTGACGTAGTTGTTGCGTTTGCGGTGTGGATACGCCGAGGATGGGAAGGCGGAACGGACGACATCTTGGGACAGAACAAGACCAGCCTTCCGTACTTATGATTCTGGGTATCGGCAGGTCAGGCTGCCAAATCAGCAGCTGGCAACTGCCGACAATCTGACCAGGGTGGTTGTGAATGTCACGCAGACGTGTATCTATGGAAGTGCTTCTATATTGGCTGTGCCAAGAGTGTGCAACAAAAGAGGAAGAAAACAGAACTTTACGAGACACTACAGGCTGTGGGGCGACTGCCGTGGACTACCGACCTACAGCCCTTACATCCAAGACAATATAATCCAATCTAACGAATTCAAAACATTCGCGTGGAGTGCGTAGTCGACATCTTCCACCCGGCGTGCAATATGGATAATATCGGGACGACACTACGGAGTATTTTCCCCAGGCGGCACTGGTGTTACTGGCAGAGACGACAAAGTTCGGCACCTCAAATCCAACCTCAATCCACACATTCGCCTAAATATGACATTCGAGAGTCGTGAAGTACCATGACTACTTACAGTCGACGGGGAGAGTAAAATTAGCCCGTCCAATACCTGTGTCTTCTAATTTGCTGGGCACTCTCCGACTACGATTCAGAGACTGTTTGCTGCTATTTCTGACAGTCTCCACACACCTCCGTTTCCTAATCTAGAATTCAAGGACGTCTCCATCAGAGATACATGGAGGCTCTGGATATATATAGATCACAGACGCGGGAAATGCACCTCGCATCCCCAACATCGCGTCACGCCCCTTGACGTCCTTCCATCGCGACACTGCACCTCACCACGACCGCGCCCAAGATGAAGCTCTCATCTCTCTACACTGTGGCCGTGTGCCTCTCGCTGTCCGCCACACCCATGGCTCAAACCGTCCCAGCCTGTCCAGCCGACCTCGCTGCCAGCACGGACTGCGCCGACGTCATCAACCCCAACGCCTGCTACAACGAGTTTGGCTTCCGTGGACAGCAGACGCTCAACTGCATCGAGGGCAAAGACAAGGCCGACAAGGCAAGGAAGGTCGGTGCCCTCTCCACTATCATTATTTCGCCCCAATAATCGAAAAGGCCATAGAGAAATACTGACATGCCCTTAGGTCTGCAAATGCTGTGGGTGTGTTGGAACAAAACTGTGCAGTTGGGCGTCGTCACAAAAGCTTTGCAGCAATTAGGCGCAATGGAGGGGGAGAGTCTATTGCGATGGCAAAGGAGAAACGCACGGCCAGGTCAGCCACAAATTCATAGCTTTAGCAAATCGACAAGCTCTTCTCAATCGCAGTCGCATGCAAGGAACAAGACTTCTTCTAGGCATCTGTTTCTGTGTCAAACGCGCCGTGTGACTCGTCCAAATCCAGCATCGTGACGTCGGCGTCTGCTTCAGCGTCATAAACCCCATCTTCAGAGTCTGCATAATCAGACTCGTTCTGCCAGCCTAGGCCGGTGTCGAACATGCTCTCGTAGGATAGCGTCGACAAAGGTGTCCATGACGTATTCGCCCAGTCTCTCCATCGCGTCCGAGCCGACCGCCTGGTTAAGCCGTAGCCGGCCTTGGGCAAGCCAGTGAAACTGCACCCACACTTCGTTCCGCTCGACTGCCCGGGGTTCGCGGAGCGGCTTGAGGCCGAAGCGCGCCGCTCGCCATAGGGTGTGGAGGTGCTTGGACAGGCAGATCATGTTCCGTGGGGATTCGCTCATGTTTTCGTTTTCGCAATTTTCCACACACTCGACCGTTGCAGCAGGACCCCAAGAAAACTTTAGAAGTGACCACATGTCACTGCGCATCTTGTTGTCTTCAGAAGCCGAGAAGGGACATATGTGTGCTCCATCGGGATAACCGTAACCAGACAGGACACATACGTGGTCGTCTCGCCGATATGTAGCGGTTGTTGCTGACTGCCGTCTCATCTTCTGCGCTGATTCGGTAGATGAGAGTGCCATGATCTGAGCTGGTGGTGAGGCTGGGTTTGGGAGCTGTTCTGTCGCTGTCTCGGAAGCAGATGGGCTAGATAGAACCGAAGAACTAGAGCCTCGTCTTGGTCGTTTAATTGTCATTTTGCGTCACTTTTTGGACAATGTCCCGAAGCTGCTCGATGGGGCAGACCAAAAAAAGAGCCAGCGTGGAAGCGGTTGGTGGAAACGCGGTATCGATGAAGACGTGCTTGAACGCCATGCGATACAACTCCTTGCGATCGTTCAGAGTGTCGGCTGTTTTTGTGTCAACTGCACGGACTAAATTGTTGGATGGCCAGCCGACGCTTTTTGTTGTCTCGGGGTCTCGATTGTGCATCTCAGCCACAAGGGCAAGAATATCGCTCTTGGTTGTCGGCATGGCGGAACGCAGGCAGGAGGAGATAGTCTGTGACAACAGAGTGATCGAAAGTGAGGAGAGAGCAAGGGCATTTTCAAACTGTGTCAAAATTGTTCAGAATTTCAAGGTTGTGTTATCTAATCCTCATCGATGTGTCAAATCAGGAAGGCACGACCGATACGGCCGCTCCTGCCGTTGCCGTATTTGCTCTACAGATTCATGAGTGTGTACAGACACGTGACGAGTTATGTATTCGCCAGGCAGATACTGCCGTAGGTTACGCTCAATAAGTGATCCATTGTGCACATTTCTACACATGTCGCCCGACGAGGCTCGGGATCGACATTGTTAACATCCAGATGCGAGGCTGAGAGTGATGAGAAATGTGGAGGGGACGATGTACATTGAACATCCAGCAAATGCCAGGGGCAGGGCCAGGGCCTGCAGTGGGGCCGCCTGAACTCCGACAGTGTTTCAGAGCAGCTGGCAGGTACGATAAGATAAAAGCGGCGATGGAAGGAGCAACTCCGACAAAGAACATCGCCCACGCTAACGAGCCTCGTAGAAATATGGAAGGAGGGGCACGTACAGGCCACGGTGCGGGGCACTGTTTCTAGGCCAGAAGAGTGCGCATTAGACCGTGCGAATTGGCTGGCCTTCCGAATCACTGCGAAAACGGCGGAAGTGGGATTCGGTGGTAAAAATTTCGAGACTGCCGTCTGGGGGAAATCGAGGCAACGTAATTGCAGATCAACCGTCGCCAAAAGGAACCGCTTCGCAACGACGGACTTTGGTAATCACCATTTGCGTTGCACCGTGACTCACGAGAGCATCGGAGATTCTTGCAAGCGTTGGCGGAGTGCCCAATTGAGCAATCGAAGGACCAATTGCTGAAGCTTTGGCATCGTCTTGTCGACGTCGCGTCGAAGATACATAAATCGGACTGTCGCCACCTCGTCGCATCGACTCTCGATACTGCCAGGCTCTATCCCCATCAGCAAACCACTACCACTCCTGCACGCACATACACTCACACACCATATCATGGAGGCTATCAAGGAGACTTTCCGGCGGTGTAAGGCCGAGAGCCGGGTATGTGGTAACCTGCCCTAGCCATCAGCCAGCCAATGCTAACCATAATCCCCAGCCCGCACTCGTCACCTATGTCACGGCCGGCTACCCCCGTGCCGAGGACACCGTCGACATCCTGCTCGGGCTCGAGCGCGGCGGCGCCGACGTCCTCGAGCTCGGCGTGCCCTTCACCGACCCCATTGCCGACGGACCGACAATCCAGACAGCCAACACACAGGCCCTGATCAACAACGTGACACTGACGATGACGCTCAAGATGGTGGCGGATGCGCGTGCCAAGGGCTTGAAAGCGCCCGTGCTGCTCATGGGCTACTACAACCCGCTGCGGGCGTACGGCGAGGAGGCGCTGGTGCGCGACAGCAAGCAGTCGGGCGTCAACGGCTTCATTGTGGTGGACCTGCCGCCCGAGGAGGCCGTGTCGTTCCGCAAACTGGTCAGCAGCGGCGGGCTGTCGTACGTGCCGTTGATTGCGCCGGCGACGTCGGACGCGCGCATGCGCATCCTGTGCCAGCTGGCAGACTCGTTCATCTACGTGGTGTCGCGCCAGGGCGTGACGGGCGCTAGCGGCACGCTCAATGCACACCTGCCCGAGCTGCTGGCCCGCGTCAACAAGTACAGCGGCGGGCGCCCGGCGGCCGTCGGCTTTGGCATCTCGACGCACGAGCACTACCAGTCCGTGGCGGCGATTGCCGACGGCGTGGTCGTGGGCAGCCAGATTGTGACCACGCTGCGCAACGCGACGACGCCCGCGACGGCCACGGACCCGTACAAGGCCGTCGAGGCGTACTGCCGCTACCTGATCCACGGCAGCCACGAGACACAGCCCCCCAAGGCGGCCGCTGTCCCGTCGCCCGCCGCCGACGCGGCCAAGACGGTGGCCGCGCCCGAGGTCGCCGCGCCCGTCAAGGACGAGAAGACGGCCCAGGAGCTCGACAGCAACCTCGTGGCGCAGCTGGCGGCGCTGCACGACAAGATGCCCGACCGGTTCGGCGAGTTTGGCGGGCAGTACGTGCCGGAGTCGCTGATGGACTGCCTGTCGCAGCTCGAGGACGGCTTCCATCAGATTCTCAACGACGAGTCGTTCTGGAAGGAGTACCGCTCGTACTATGAGTACATGGGCCGCCCGGGCCACCTGCACAAGGCGGAGCGCCTCACGCAGCACGCCGGCGGCGCCAGCATCTGGCTCAAGCGCGAAGACCTCAACCACACGGGCAGCCACAAGATCAACAACGCGCTGGGCCAGCTGCTGCTGGCGCGCCGCCTGGGCAAGACCAAGATCATTGCCGAGACGGGCGCCGGCCAGCACGGCGTGGCCACGGCCACCGTGTGCGCCAAGTTTGGCATGGAATGCACCGTGTACATGGGCGCCGAGGACGTGCGCCGCCAGGCGCTCAACGTGTTCCGCATGCGGCTGCTGGGCGCCAAGGTCGTGGCGGTCGAGGCCGGCTCGCAGACGCTGCGCGACGCCGTCAACGAGGCGCTGCGCGCCTGGGTCGTGCACCTCGAGGATACCCACTACATCATCGGCTCTGCCATTGGCCCGCACCCGTTCCCGCGCATCGTGCGCACCTTCCAGTCGGTCATTGGCAACGAGACCAAGGCCCAGTTCCAGGCCCTGCGCGGCAAGCTGCCCGACGCCGTCGTCGCCTGCGTCGGCGGCGGCTCCAACGCCGTCGGCATGTTCTACCCCTTCTCCGACGACCCCTCCGTCAAGCTGGTCGGCGTCGAGGCCGGCGGCGACGGTGTCGACACACCGCGCCACGCGGCCACGCTCGGCGGCGGCTCGCTCGGCGTGCTCCACGGCGTGCGCACCTACGTGCTGCAGGACCGCAACGGCCAGATCCAGGACACGCACTCGGTGTCGGCGGGCCTCGACTACCCCGGCGTGGGCCCCGAGCTGGCCCAGTGGAAGGACAGCGGCCGCGCGCAGTTTGTGGCCGCCACGGACGCGCAGGCGTTCCTGGGCTTCAAGCTGCTGAGCGAGCTCGAGGGCATCATCCCGGCGCTGGAGTCGGCCCACGGCATCTACGGCGCGCTGGAGCTGGCCAAGACGATGAAGCCGGACGAGGACATTGTGGTGTGCCTCAGTGGCCGTGGCGACAAGGACGTGCAGAGCGTGGCGGACGGCCTGCCGGAGCTTGGCCCCAAGATTGGCTGGGACCTGCGCTTTTGAGGAGGTCATGTCACGGCGAACTGTCGCTCAAAACATATTCCATCGCATTTCCATAAAATGGTACGTCTGGTAGATATAATACAAAAGCGAAATAAATTGTGTTCGGGATTGCTTCCAGTAGTTTATTGTGTGACCTGGCACCACTTCGTAAACGTAGTCACCGGGTTTACGGTTTGCATCGTCGACAGACACTCAGACATGACGACCAACATAAGGGTAGATTTCTCGGGTTGAAAGGAAAGGTCAATGCACAGTGATTGATATTATTTCTTGGACACTTGTCTGGTTTACAATGTACTTGTGAGCACGTTACGATGCCAAACGATTAGACTTCCTTTTTGGTTGTCATTTTTATATATTTGCAGGATACAGACAGGGTAACAAGAACAGTCTCCAATTTAAGTTGCAATAACAACGTCAATTCCACATCCTGTCCGGTTCAATCTTTGCCTTCCAGGCGCCGCGCCTCGCGCCTTGAGTCCCAGCATCCTTCCCCGGACTCAATACGCCGGCTGCGAATTGATCCGCTTCAGCATGCCGCCTGTCGACGGCCGCCGCGGCGGGTGCGACACGGCATTGGCAATGCCGGCACCGCTCGCCGGGCTGCCGTCCGAAATGGACGGGTGCCGCGTCGTGCCGATGCGGTTTTTCATGCTTGTGTTGGGCCCGCGGCCCTGCATGACGGCCTCCAGCTTGGCCTTGGCGCGCATCTGCATCTTGCTCATTGTGGGTGCCGTCTTGTCCATGGTGAGATGATTTGCACTCGTTCTTGGTGTTTGTACTCGTTCTCGACGATTGTACTCGATTCTCGATTCTTGATTCAATTGATTATTTGATTTAAAAGAGAAGAGGCGAGAAAAAAACAACGAGAAGAGACAACGAGACGACAGCCTCAGACTTAACAGTTCCCCTCATCTGAACAGGTGACCTGTTTCCGCGACGTCCGACATTGGCTAGTGGCTGGGTGTTTTCTCTCATGTCTTTTCAGATAGTTGGACTTGTAGAGAAAGGTACCACCCGGCCGAAGACAATGTCGGACTGGACCAAGTATCGACTTCATGGTCTTTGTGCAGAGTGTGGCAGATGAGGGGAAGCCTCTAATCAAGAATGCACCAACGTTTGTTGCGGTGGTGTACTCTGATTGGTTGACGAAGGCTGACTTACATCGGATGTAAGTCAGTCGGTCACCGTGATTGTTTAGTCAACCAGCCTTTGGTAGGGTTAGAAGGGTTGTGCGTTTTGTTTTGTTTTTATTTGTTTTTCCTATTTTTTTTCCGCACACCTAGAAATGCCCCTCCTTCTGCATCTGCTGGATGTACGTCACCATGTTCACAGAGAACAGCGGGTGGTCCACGTCCGTCAACCGCGGCGGCTGTGTCCGCCAGACGGCATCCAGATAGTCGTTGAGCACGTCCGACTCGCTGGAGCCGCTGGCCGCCGCAGCTGCCGCCAGACGCGACGGTGTCAGCGACTGGATCGACGACACCGAAATGGTCGACATGCCCGTCGGCACCCGCGTCAGAGCCAGTTCATCGGCCCCGGCGACCAGCATCTGCGGCGTAAAGAGCTCGCTGGCCGGCACGCCGTGGCCGTGGCTGGGCATGTCGTGAGGAAGAGCTTTCTTCCCGACGGTCGACACGCATATGAACGTGTGCACAGATGTGGCACTTGCGACGCAGGACCGTGTCCGGCAGATCGTCGTCATTGACCATGGTGACGATCTCGTCGACAGACAAGTCGTCGTAGCAGACCTTGAAGCAGCTCATATTGGACACAAAGTCAAGAACTGGCCAAAGGTAGCTGTAAAGGCTCTGTTGAAGCTTTTGAAAGTTGTCTGCCGAGAGAAAGCGACAGGAGACTAAGAGTTGCTATTTTTTGGTTCTAGATTATATCAAAGAACTTGGAAGATTTGAAAGAAGGAAAGAAGAAAAATAAAATAGGTCGGCCATGGAGGGCGAGCGGCCTCATATTTATGCACATTTCTGTTCTTGTTGAAAGTCATATCAGTCATGGCCAGAACGAGGACGCTGTCAATATGTACGCATCAGATGACGGCAAAACGCAATGGAAGCGTCATGAAACGAGTGTGAGTAATGGTGGTGCGGTGTGTGAAGCTATTTTACGATTCGATCTCGGCATACGCGGTGCATCTGCTTTGAATTTCGCATTTTATATCAGCAGTGTGTTGACATCGTGTACGTTGGTGGCGTCAGCCAATCATGGGGCGTGGGCAGTGTAAGCGAGGCCCAAGCTATCTGCAGTAGAAACGTTGCCAGCTCTACGTCGCTGCTCTGACTGGCCAGTAAAAATAGCCTATGTAGACATGTACAGGGAAGAGGTTTCTATTCCATTCCTTCTTTTTGTGTGTCTTGTCTCTTGCTCCTTCGGAATGGAAATGGGTCCACGGATATGACGTGTTAAATCAAACAAAACACGAAGCCAAGCAGTTACACGCCTTTCTTTTATACACAGATCCCGTGCATAAACATGCCTCATCATTCTACGTAACATGTGCTTAACTGAAATACTAACTCCCGACACCGTATTCTACAAATCAGCGGCCTACACTCAGCACAACATTTTGAATCTTCCACGATCTGACATGACGTCTTCACAATCCCCCAAGATCCATCAGCGGCACGTGCAAGGTGGTACCTCAGCTCTGTGTCATGACATCTCCGTTTTCTCATCTTATCGTGCCTTCATCTCCTTTCTTATCAATCTCATCTTACATGAGCCGAGGGAAGCCATCAGACGCTCGACAGAAAAGATCAGGGCGGGAATAAAGTGTTGCGTTCTATGACCTGTTTTATTTTGTGACAAAGAATCTCGTATCAATTTTTACGTTGATTTCCCCCCTGGTTTGCCTCGCCTGTTGTCCTTCTTCCCATCCTATTGGCACCCACCATCATTGCAGAAATGCATACATAGCCCAGAAACACAAACAGCCCGCTCGTCTCAATGGCAATGTACAGTCGGCTGCGGTAGCGCACGACGGTGTCCATGGCGACGCAGGCAAAAGCGAGTGCCGGCAAAACGCCCGGCCGTTGCAAAGGACGCGATACACTCCTCGCGACGAGTGGTGCCAGGCCCGCCACAGGGTACACAACCATCTGCAGCCAGCAAAAGAGGAGGATCGAGGCTTGAGTACGAAGACTCTTGTCGAAAAGAATGCTCGCCAATCGATCCGGACCGCCCTTGCCAGGAACCCGCAGCATCGTCCACGCGGCATACCCAACCGCCAGTGTCGCTGACGCCTGTGCCACGGCGTACTCAATGCTGGAGAACAGCCAGACCGTGAAGAGCGTAGCAGCAACGTCCTTGGCACGGCGGACCAGTGTGCGCGCGACGGCTTTGTTCTTCGACTGGATCAAGGGGAGCGAATGCGGCGCGGCATCGTTCGCCGTCGCCGCAATGGCCATCGCCGCGCCCAGCATGTCCCAGACACCCTTCCACGCGACGGCCTGGAGGTACGCTCCGCGCTCCACTGCCTTGACAACATCCTCCACAAACACGTCCGGTCGGGCCAGCAAGAGTCGCCAGTCGTCGTCGGGCTGCGGGCGGACAAAGAAGCCGGCGGCGGGGTGGCCGAAGAAGAGCGCGCGGCGCGCATGGTTGAGGACGACGGCGGCGAGCAGGTAAGGGGCGGCAGCGGTGGCCGCATGGCCGCGAAAGACGGACGCTTGGAGGACGGCCCAGACGTGGACGAGGAGGCCGTCCTTGGCGGTGAGGATACACTGCAGGCATTGTCTGGCCGGACCCTCTCGCACATGACGAGCAACACGGTTGTAGATGCACCGTCCCACGATGCCACTAATTGGAGGCAGACCGACGCCGCTGAGAACAGCCGTGGGCACTGTGAAAAACGAGGACGACGCGGCTGTCATGGAAGGCGGTGCGTTTGGTGCATCTGCTGCTGGTGGATCGCCACTCACGCGGTTGTGGGCGTCATTTACGTCTGCGTCTGCCTCTGTTGTCCGCCGCCGCGGTCGCCTTCGCACTGGTTCCGCCATGTTGGCATGTAAGGAAAAGAGACGGCTGCTGTGTAGCAACGTGTGTCTTTCGATGATCAAGCGTGGAACGGCAAACGGGCCACGTTCTGTAGAGCACCGCGAATGCGGCAGTCCCATTGGCCAGCGCAAACGACAACACCTAAGCATTTTGTTACGGTTGACTTTACTCGCAAAATGTGTCACGACGCAAAGTGACTTTCGTGTAAGATAATGTGTCAATTTCTGTAGTGATCCTCCATGTATGGATGACGCAATGTAAAAGATTCGACGCAGAGCCCAATTCTTCTGGCCGTTGTATTTTTTTCCCAAACTTTCCAATTTGAAAAACAATATTGTGTGAAATGAACAATCCGCAAACCTGTTATCCCATTGTCCTCCTATCCGATTGACAAAAAGACGCCATGTAACAAAAACCATCGCAGTGCAAAGAAAAGACATAACAAACAACAGGTGCCAACCCAAATCCAATCGCGAAAACACCGTGGGCCAAATGCAAGAGGTTGTGAAATAACAGAAATGTCAAGGAAACACAAAGAAGCAAAGTAACCACCAGACGAGCCAATCATCAGGTTGTACACACCGTTTGGACTGTCTCGCCTTCAATTGCCTCTGACGGCCTTGCTCCCGACGCGAGACCGCTAGCCCGCCCGGTTGCGCAGGCCCGTCACCCGACCCAGCCACTTCTTGCGCACTTCCTGCGGCAGGGGTGTCGCCGTAGCTGTGGCAGTGGGCGCAGCCTCGGGGGCCTGCGGCGCCGGCACGGGCGTCACGACCTCCTTCACAAGCACCGCCGATTCGTCCGTGTCTCCAGCCTCCCCACCGCCGCCGCGCACAGGCCGCGGGTTGCGCAGAATCGGCGGAGGCGTCGCACTGGCGCCGCCCGGACCACCGGCATGGTCCTCGTCCAGCTCGTTGCGGCGCACCCGCGACGGCATTCCAATCGCGGGCGCAGACGTCGGCTCCGTCGGTGTCGCCGTGGCGGGCACCGTAGCCGACGACGCCAGAGCCGCCGTCGCAGCCGAACTTGGCTCGTGCGAGCCCGACCGTCGGAACAGGCTCATCACACGACTGCGTGTGGCATTCGAGTTGGACCCCGATGTGGGCGGGTAGTGTCGCTGCTTTGGTACGGTCATCTGTTCTTGCTGGGTGGCCGGGGCAGGTGCGGAAGGCGTAGGCGGTTGACTTTGGCTGTTGTGTTCCTTGCTTGGGCTCAATTCGTCTTTACCGGTCGTGGTTCCGGGCCGCGTAGGCGAACGACGGTTCTTGTTGTTGTTGGCCAAACCGGGTGTACCAAGAGACGGTGTCCCGGGCGCGGTACCGTGTAGTGACCCGCGGCGCGAACCGTGTGTAGAACCGGTGTGGGCATGCAAGCTGGAGCGCCGATGTGGCGGTGGTGGCGGACCGGACGAGATCCCATTCATGTTCATACCGTAGGGAAGAGGCGATGCCAGGAGACCGTCGGAGCCAAAGAGGCCGGCCGCGGGCGTAGGGAGGGAAGCACCAAGGGCGTCCAGAGTTTGGGCCAGGGGTGCAGAGCCCTGGTAGCCCTGGCCGCTCAGCGAACCAAACATGGCCGTTGTGGCCCAGCCGTTGGATGTCGTGGGGAAGCTAAACAGATCGGGCGAAACGCGACCACCCCGGCGGCTGCGACTCGTCGATGGTGCCGGGGCCTGGCCCGTGGGACGCAGGCTTTCGCGCAGCCAGTAGTCATGCAGGGACGCTGAGTCGTTGCCATCAATGTCCATGTCATCGTCGGAGCTCTCCGAGTCGCCCCAGACGCTGCCCCGGCCGTGATGTGAAATCGTCGTCTCGTCTGCGGACCGGGGGCGCGGTGGGATATGCAGTTGGCTGTCAAAGTATGTGCTGCGGCCGCCAATCTCGTGGCGGCGGCTGTTGAAGGCCGAGGTCGACGGTGGGTGCATGGCAGGGATGCTGTCGACAAAGGATTCCAGCGCCGAGATGCGCTTCTCGCCGCTACTGGACCGTGACGTGTTGGCTTCGGACATGGCGAGGTAGCTGCGCTCGTTGGCACCGTCCTTGTCCTGGAGGCACAGAGTGTCATTAGAGTTCTTGTACCGGCGGAGGGTCGACGTCGAGATCGTGTCGGGGGTTGGCGGCAGATTATGCGGGTCACGCGAAAATGGTGCATCGGTGCGCACTCTGCGCAGAGCGTCCTTCTTCGCCTGCCGGGCATAGGACTTGCCGAGCTCGTGCTCGCGGAGGTGGCGGGCCAGAGACTCGATCTCGGCGCGGCCGTGCTGGCTGGCTGGGCGGGATGCGTCGTTCATCGCCTGGAGTGATATCTCCATTTTCTCCAGCTGCCGAAGTGGCGAGTTGGTCCCGAGGAAATCAGTCAGGGAATTGAACGCGGCGGCGTTCTGGTTTTCATTCAGGTGAGGGTTGCGGTTGCTCGAACTCGATCGCTTCTTAGTCGGCGTCGATGAGTTCTGTGTCTGCGCCCGAGACGCTGGTCGGTTGGCAGTGACAGTGGAAGATGTAGGCGGCGGTGCCGTCGATGCAAGGGCGTGTGCCACTACAGCTGCAGCAGTTCCATTCGAGTCTTCGACTTTCAAGCCGGCGTCAGGCATGCTGCGAGGAATGTCCGGCACGCAGGCGACAGGCGACATGGGGCGTGGCTCCGATGGCGCTGATGTGACTTGTGTGGGTATGTCTCGTGTCTTGCCGTATATGCTGAGAAAAGAGCTTTCGCTCAGGACACTGAGGCTCGGGCTCGCGATGCGGTTAATGCCGTCCCGCAGATCAACGTCCATATTGTCTTCCGACATGCGGGGCAGGCTGACGAGGCTGCCGGCTCGCGTGCCGAGATACACGTTGCGCAGGTTCTCCGTAAGCTCGCTACGCTCAGACACGAAGCTCGGCATGCGGTTGATGGTGCGTTGATCGTCGTCCGCCTTCGTCGTGGGTTTTGGGGTCTCGTCAAACGATGTGACAGATTCAGTACCCGCTGCGCCGTTTGTCGTCTCGTGTAGTGCAGACGAAAGGGCGCTCCTTAGCCGGGCGTCGGTCGCAAAGAACTGCTCCTTCTCAGCCTGCTGCATCATCTGGCGCTCCTGAAGGAGTTCCTCCAGGCGAGCCTCCAGGGACACAATCATAGCAACAGCCTCCTCAACGGCCTTATCGCGCATTTCAAGCTCAGACATGAGCTTGTCATTGATCTCTTCCAGCTCGCGCTTTTCTGTCTCCAGGCTTCCGCATTGCTCTTCGAGGGCGGTCTGCTTCTCGCGGCGGTGGTACAGCTCAAGCTTGAGGTCGAAATTTTGCTTGTGCAGAGTCGTCAAAGTCTAGAGAGTTAGATGAATGCATGGATGTGGGTGGTGGCCTGGTAGATCCGTAGCCCTAACCAGAACAGCCAAATAGCTTTGTAGTGCTGGTGCTGTACATACCTGTTCCATCTCCTTCAAGCCAACACCAGACTTCTTCTTGCCACCATCGAGGTGGCCCGTGCTGGACTTGGGTCGACTGATGTCGAAAGGCGCTCTAGCAGGCGAGCTTTGTCCTCCACGCAGGTCCAGCGTCGAGGCCATCTTGTCGTTGCTAAGTCGGCTGGAGCTCCGTTCGCTCTCAACTTTGCGTTCTTTCAGAAGCTTCTCTTGGAGATAGCTGGAGGTCGCGGTCAGGGCCGGTTTCGAATCGATCGACTTAAGGTCCGAGGTAGACTCGTTGATGGACCGGAACTTTGATGAATCAGTGCTTGTGCTCGGTGCTGGTGATGCTCTCTTGTTTGCGCCGTCCTGGAAGCGATGGACGATGTGAGAAGTCGACTGTGTCGAGGACAAGGAGGAGGTTTGCTGTTGCGGCTGCGACAGAGGCAGCTGTGGTGAGGGAATCAGGTTCGACATGGAGCGGTCCGCAGTGTGTGCCGACATGCGTGAATCGGAGGTGGCGCCGGTGCTCGAACGAGACGAAGCGCGAGTATATGAAGGGCGACGAGACCGGTCACCCGTGCTCGTGCTACTGGTGAAGCTTGCAGATAAAGGAGCGTCCATGATGTCGGGTGGCGACGGAGATGTAAACGAAAGGGGGCAGCCTTAAAAGGGGTTGGAGTCGGAGGCAAAGACTCTGTCTTGGGCCTCTAAACCAGCCCAGCTGGGGAGTGTATGGAGAGACGCGGCAGACGAGGGGTGGGCGTGTGAAGGTGTGGGCCGCTGAAATCCGTTCTGCAAGCTGCCTCGTCCAAGGAAGACACAGGCAAGATGCAATCGAACGTCAAAGTATTGTGACGCAGTTGTCAAACGCCAGCGGAGTGCTGCTGACGTCTCGTGGAATTCTCGACGAGGTGTGTGTGTATTTGGGCAAGACACGGCAGGCGGTGAGAGGCGATATGTAATGTAATAGTGTGCTGCTGGTCAAGTCAGAAAAACCCTTTTAAAAATAAATAGGAATAATAGACAATACGAGGCCATAGGCGGAAAGGGAAAAGGGTATCAAGCGAAAGTTGAAGAAAGCCAGGGAGAGACAAAAAGTGTGGACGAGGTGGAAAAGCAAAGAAAGTCAAGACTAACAAGATCCAATACCGAACTCCTTCCTAACTGGGCTACCAGAAGGATAGCGGCAGCATATGAAGGGAGAAGAGAGGCGAGCGAAAAGAGCAAGAAGTCGGGGTCTTCACTGTGGTGTGTACTTCATATGTACGGAAAACGAGCACAGAATTTTGCGATTCGAAGGCGGTTCTCGGAGCAGGAAGAGGCAGACAAAGCCAAAACGTGAGGTAAGGCCCAGGAAGCAGCGAAAACCTCTTGTTAACGAGAACAAAATAAGCAGAGTCTGCTCACGACTACTTCGTAGAACGGCTGCAAAAATGAAAAGCAAGTCGCAGGGCCGGCTGCTCTGCTCGTTTCGCTGCAAGATAGGGTCAAAATTTGGCGCTATTATTATCGTGGAGGACGGCCGGAAGGAGTGCCGGCGTTGGTAACTGCAAAGATGGGGGGCGCAGCCAGGGGTCAAGAAACTAAGGAGGGCCTGTTGCGACGGTTGTGGGTGTGTGGATGCGAGGGTGTGTGTGAGGGAGGGAGGGAAAATGGCGAGACGGCGAGAGCCAGGTGAAAAAGGTGAGAGTCACGTTGGTTCTCTGAGATGCGACGGTCGTCGTCTGCCAACTCGTGGGGTATGATTGTGGTCAATGGTCCTGGGCTCGTGCGCTAGGTCGCCTCTGTTGCAACGGGGGGTGGGGGTATTGCTCGGTTCGATGGCTCGGCAACATTCGCTGCGAAGGCAGATACGATGGCAGATATTCGTTGCAAGCTTGACGATGCGTTTCTTGGGTCATCGAGTGCGAGGGGGCAGCGTCTTGGTCCTTGGTTTTGAGACGGAGTGCTGATGGGTCGTACCTGGGCGTCGAGCGTATAAAATAAAACGATGAACAAAGAAAGCAACCAAGTATGAGCTTATACTATGTTCGTTTTCGAGGAACGCTTGTCGAAATGCTCTGTACTGGGCAACACATTCCTTGAAAGGTGAGGATGGGGACAGGACGCCAAAGAAACAAAACATCAGAGGCCGGGCCCTATCGCCTGAAGGGCTCCGCTCCTTGGTGGCACGGGCACAATCAAGGTGGGCTTGACTGCCAGACGATCAGATCCGGCGAGTCAGGATGGTCCCTGTTTCTTGACCAAGTTTTCTCGCCTGCCGTTCCCTGTCGATTTCTGATCCTTTGGTCTCTCTTGTTGCCTTGTTGCTGTGTCTCCAATTGTCTCACTATTAGGTATCCGGGGGATCAGGGATCCTACAGCAGTAAGACCTGCTGTATGTCGTAGACAGAACGGGAATCGGCGGATGGGCCTCTGTTGGTGAATGGGTGCGGTGCGATGTTAGTATGTACGGAGTACGGAATATGTCGCGGTGGAGAGCCGAACAGAAACAACGTGAGGGGTGCCAAAGGCTGTGTGAGGATAGTGACGAAGTGACGAAAGAACAAGCAAACGGGGGACGGTTGTGGCTGCTGTTTTGGTCTGTGACGCGATCCCCATCACAAAACTGAGACACGCTTTTGGGCTTGGAAAGGGAAGGAGCGGCCGACAAGGCAATTTCCTGACCAGGACGGGAGCTCCCACTGCCCCGTAGTCATCTACAGAAAACGCTTTCCCCTTTTCCGACCATCGCTCCTTCTTCGACTTCTCTTGTATTTTGCTCTTCCCTTTTTCTTTTTTTTTTGCCAACGGCAGACTCGCACGAAAGCTTTCACGGACGAATAAACGGCGACGGCTCCATCGTGACTTTCTCTTTTTCCACTCTCTCTCGTCCTATTCGTTCTTGATCTCACTTGGTTTGCCTCTTTCACGCGGGTTTCCTTCGTATTTGCCTTCTTGTACATGTTGACCTAGGAGGGCAGGCGCTAGTGACGCCGCTAGGCAAGGGGAGACTTCCCGGCATACTGGGGCAGGAGCGACTGTACCGGGACCAAGTGCGCCGTCTCGTATTAGCATCCGCCGTTGGTCTGTTTTAGCGCGTCTCCTTGCAGAGCAGGACCCTGTCGCCCTTTCCTCTTCTGCCTGCTGGTATGCCCTGATACATAAAAACGCCAAAACGCGTGTGCATCATCGAATTGGGACTGTGTTCGGGCCCTATCACTTAATTATTCCGTACTTGGTGCGTCCTATTCAGTATTTCTCGTTGCAACACGTCGTATGATGTGTGTCCCGCTCTCATCAGAGCAGCTGGGCGTCGCTACATGCATCCTATCATGATCTTGCCCGCCAAGAGCGCTACAATTTGGCTCTCGGCATTCCATCTGTCATCTGTTGTTCTCGCTCGTACGTTTTGCATATTTTGAATGTTTTTGCACCTTTTGCACGTCTTGCTGCCCGATGCTGCCCATTCTGTTCCTTTGACTCTATCACTACCGCACCAGTGTTCGGTTCTTCTACATCGTATCTGATGACCCTTTACCCAGCGACACAAGTCTCTGTTCCGCATCCACCTCGTCTGCTAGACGGTCTTGTTTCAGTCCCCTGATAGTGAAGAACAGTACTCAAATTGGCAAAGACGAGCACAGAAACTGGCCAAGCCAAGACTGGGTCTGGGCTGGGCTGGTTCCAAACCCACGGTAGAACTAGGACGAAAAGGATGAAGAGCGCGAGAAACCTGGGAGAGAGGCCGACATCCACTGAGAGTGCACAGTTTTGTGCTTCCTCTGGTCCGCGCCTCGTCCGTCCTCTCCCCTCTATCGCCCCTTTGCGCAGATTTGACAGACGGCATATCCTTGCAAGTTACAGGGGCCCAGTGAGCATCGACAGACGGCCCCGGCCTTGGTCCAGTGCAAAGGCCCGTCTGCCGCGTGTGGGCCGTGAGTGGAAGAACGGAGACAAGTGCAAAACGGATACAGGAATGAGGCATGAAAAACTGAAAGTCTGAGAAGTCAATGGGGAAACAGGGGAGAACAAAAAAAAATAGGGGGGCTGGGCATCCACTGGTTTTGACAGGGGATGTCAGGACTTACTATCTGATTGGCCACAGCTGCCCAGGGTTGAGATTGCGGCTACGACTCTGGAGCCTGTCGTTTTGTCGACGGAGTCCTTTTTTGTTTTCAACCTTCAACCCTTTTTCGGTTTCCTTCCCTTGTCCAGACACCTTTTTTCTTTGCTCTTTTGTTTTTTGCTCATACTTTAACCCTTTTCAGCGTTCCGTTTAATTAGAAACGCGAAAATCACACTCTTTTTCTGTGATGGCGTCGCAAAGGCGCGATAGCGCGTCGGAGAAAGTTTAAGTGAAATACGACGCTGCGGGTGTCTTGTGACAAACAACGGGAAAACGATGGCTTGAGTTTCGGTTCTTTTGTCTCGCTTGTCATGACTGGAGAAATTCGTCACTTGGACCAACCTGAGTGGCGTTCGACGATCCACTCCTTTGACGGAGTTCAGCAGGATACCTATGTTTGGAGGACATGGCTCGAGATGGCATATGTCAGTCTGTCAATCCTGTCGTGCACTTTGCATGCATCCAGCCGCACTTCCAGTTGGTTGATGCCGTCCAAGGGAAGCAAATCAAACCAGGGACTGACCTGTAGTCTACCGTGTGGATTTTCCCTGGTTCGTTCTCCCGGCTCGAAACGATCTATTGGCCCTTTTACGGCACGGCCAATAAAAAAAAGGTAAAGGAAAACGCAGCGCAGGTTTCCATGCAACAATGGTGACAAAACCATTCGATTGTACACCGACGAGTGGCTTTGTGGCCGCCCGATTTGTTGCATATGATGCCCTGTTGGGGTGTTGGAAAAGAGGCTTCCGGGGCTCCCTTGCATCGACAAATATCTAGTCACCAACAAGATCGTATGGATACGTGTCAAAATCATCCAAAAATGCAAAGAGAAACTAGATGGATGGCTGTCAGGTATGTCGCGCCGGTGCTTCCCAGGTTGGCGATTCCCGCTTTCTGTACCACTTACAGAAAACATTGCGAAACATCCCGCAAATGGCGGTCAGGATACCTCAGATACACCTCGATACAACCCCTGAGGATGTAAGGAGAGAGCATCTACAGAAGTACAAGAGAACGAGAAGACATGATCGACTTTTCGGTTGGTGAAGTTCTTCCATTTTCTTACTGAGACAAGGAATATCCACGATGTTGCATAAACTTTGCACATCCAGAGCAGGAGACTGCAGTTGACAGCTAGCAAGGTGAGCGTTACTGTGTGTTATTGGCCAAAGCAAGTTTCTTTGAAGCTTTCCACCATGTTTCTCTCCCCCGGCATCTTTCCTTCATCTCCGCTGAATCTGTTCCTCCCCACATGTCCCTTGCTTCTCGCATATGCAGGTCTCACAGTCATGTGTTTCTAGACGACATATCTTACCCTAGTACACGGAGTCCTCCGCAGAAGCCCCGGGAGTACAAAGTAGAGAGCCCATTGGGCTGCCAATCCTTGACTTTCTCCTTACCACCACATAAAAGCAAAAAGAAATAACAAGACACGCCGAGTGACAGACAGAAGCTGAGAGCGGCTGGGCAATGCATGCATGGCAAAAAGCAATGAGAGCAGGGGGAAAGATGGAAAAAAGAACAACGGTGGACGAAATGCAGAGTAACGGCGGGCGTCGACAAGGTTAAAAAAAGACTCACCTGGGACCTGGTCCAAGCCAACGGGAACATGCACCTGCCGCGTGCCGACCGATATGCATGCACTGTAAGACTGTACGATGGACGATGAACGGTGGCCTGAGGGGGATCGAGCGGAGGCTGACCAGTGCGCAAAAATGGAGGCGTGTAGGCACGCGGCGCAAAAATAAGGACCAAGAAAGTGGATAGAGCGTGCGCATCCACGGGTGGGATCGACCAAGGTGCCAGGCGAAGGAAGCATAAAAATAAGTGTCGAGCTGTCAGTGCGCAAGAGGAGTGTGCAACCGGAAACTAGAGCTTGTCCGCCCGAGCAAGGTAGAATGCGTCAAAATATGAATAGGGGACATAAACAAGAGGTGAAATGGAAACGACAAAAGGTCATTGGCAAGATGGTGATTCGTTGAATCACTGTCCAGTGGTTATGGATAACTGGGGCGTTTAGAGTGACAGAATACCACTGTCCGTGGCGAGAGGAATCGAAAGACGGTGAATCAAGATTGCCTGGTCCGTGAATTGAAACGTCACGACCAGATGGGAACGAAGGACGGTACCCGGCAGTGTTTGCATTGTCCATCGTTTCTCCCTCTCACAAATACGGTACAATGAGGTTGGAAGATGTCCAAGTAAACGAACCAGAATGACTCCCTGCATGGGGTAGAAAACTAACAAGAAAGCTCGTAACGACATATCAGACAATGTGTCTCTTGTCATCCGACGGATAGGCAAAGGCAAATGTGGCAAGCAGTTGTGCCGTGCAAATACACGTATCGTACTCGTACAAAGTACAGAATAAAATATAACTTTTATTGATATATTTTATTTTTGTTTCATATTTTAAAAGTCTGCATTCTTCCATTACCAATTTTTCAAAAAAAAAAAAGAAAACCAGCGTCAATTCATACAAGATTTCAGCTCATTCAATGCATTAATCGATTTTAATGACATGACAAAGATCGATATATAAACAAACACATACAGAACCCCATGAACCGAAAGGAAATTTCCCATAATCCAAAAACAATATGTGCCGCCCAGTTTTTTATGAAATATAGATGGTATGTAAAAAGAGATGAGAAACAAATATGCCAGCCCAGGAACAAATAAATATTGGAGGTACGCTACACGGCAAAAGCAAGAGCAAGAGGGGGCGTGCCGGTGCGAAATGCAAACGTACAGAAATATAAAACCAGAAAACCTCCATCCGGTCCATCCCCGCAACGAAAAGAAAACAAGAGCCGAGAACTCGTGAAACCAAAAACGAAAGGATATTAGGTAGTAGTATGTATAAAAAGATACGCAAAGAGGGTCATGCAACAAGGCCAGGACAGCCTACGATGCCAGATTCGTCCGCGACAGGTCAAAGCCGGCAAACCCGTTGTTCTCAATGGGGCTCTGTGCGCCGCTGGGCAGGAACACGGAGTAGTCCGTTCCGGCCTGCAGCTCCTCCGTAAAGCTGCCGTAGCTGTGGTTCCGGCTGATGCCCTCGTGGATGGAGCCGCCGTGGATGGACCCGTAGGAGCCGCCGCCGACCGACACGCCCGTCGGGCTGACCGTGCCGTCGTAGACCACGCCATCGAGGCTGTTGCCGTCGTAGGCCACGGGGCCAACTTCAAAGGCGGCGCTGTCGAGGGCGCTCGCGTCAAACGCAAACGGCACAGCTTGGCCATTGGGGACCGTCGTTGACGCAAAGTGGTGGTTGTGGTTCATGGACGGTATGATGTGGAAATCGTCGCCGACTTCGCCCAGCACGGTGCCGACATTGCCTCGACCAGTCGCATCCGTGACCGTCGGCAGCGACGTTGGCGGCCCTGCCGCCTCTGTTGTGGTGGCGGCAGCAGCAGTGGTGGCTGTGCCGGCGGCGGCCGTGATCTCATCGTGCGACCAGTGGGCCGGTGCTGCCGGCAGCAGCTCGGGCGACGACGGCGACGACAGCGACGGCGACAGGGCCATGCGCATGCCGCCGCCCGTCCGCTCATTGGCAAACATGAGGAGGCGCTCGGCGTACTGGGTGCGGCTGTTGGGACTAGCGCTCAGCGTGCGCACAAAGAACTCGAGCGGGTCGACCGAGAAGGACATGCGGCCGACGCCCAGCACGCCCATGTCAGAGGCTCCGGCAAAGTCCATGCCCATGGCGGCACCGCCACCGGCGACGTTGTTGCCCGAGGCGCTGGCCATGTCGCAGGCCTGCAAGACGTTCATGGACCAGGTGCCAATCTCAAAAATCTTCTCAAAGATGCCCATGCCGTGGACTTCGATGGCCTGTGGGGGCAGGCTCTGGATGACGGCGGCGGTGCGGGCAGCAATGGTGAGTGGGAAGGCGAAGCGCATGCTCTCATCGGGTGCGGTCCACGAGAGGAGTTGCTGGCGGAACGAGGACTGCCAGACAATGAGGCGCAGCCACTGCTGCGTGATGAGGAGGTCGGCTTTTTGGATGTCGGTCGTCTCCGGCTCGTTCTCCTGCTTGATCTCCGCGTCGTCGCCGCCCGCCACCCCGCTTGTGCGCAGCGCTGCATTCAGTCCAGCACTGAACTCGGCTGGCGAGCTCGGCGACGGTGGCGGGGCTTCGTGGCCAGTGGGCGACCGGTCTTCGGGCGTATGGCTCGCCGTGGACAGACCATGCGTCACAGTTACAATCTCGCTCTTGGCTTTGGCGAGGAAGGGCGGCCGAACGGCGAGGATGGCCTGAAGGGTGAGGTACGTAGCGGCCGTGACGCGTGGGTCGGAGCCTTCGTTCCAGGCGTTCACAAAGGATTCGTCGAGTGGTGTATAGGAGCTGATGAGCTGGCGGAAGCCAGAATGGATCTCGGGGGCTTCGTACGGATGGCGGGTGGTTGGAAGCGACGGAGTCTTCTTGAGTGTAATGGGTTTGCTTCGGAGAATGGCAAAGGATCTGTATGAGGTGGGGTTAGTATAGCAACCAAAGAACTCGAAAAACTATGACGGAGTACGCTTACCGTTCGGTCACAAAGAGCTGCCAAAAGGTACGCTGCCGGCACAGCTTTTCCGCAGCATCCAGGCCGGCGTAGGAAGCGTCGTCATGCAATGCAATCTCCTGGGCAAGAGTCAATGCCTCTCGCAGGTAGACCCACGACTTGCGGGACTGGTTGATCTCGAAGAAGGATGTCGAGAGCCAAAACGAGGAGATGACGGCGTTCAAGGACGCGTCGTTGAAGAAGTCGTATGACTGGCGCGCCGAAATGCATTCGTCCAAGAAGAAACGGCCGGCGCATTCCCACGACGGGTGCGGTGCATCCGCCGTGATGTTCTGTCCAGACATGTGGAAGCAAGTGAGGGCGCACAGGGCGTAGAGGAAGTTGCGGTCCGAGAAGGTCAGCTCGGCCAAGCCGGCGGGGCTCCGGTTGACCATGTTGCGCACAGCGGGCATGTAGGGGAGGGGCATGATGGGGTAGATGTGCTCGTAGTAGAGATTGACGCATCGCGGCATGAGGTACATGTAGCTGCGGGTCGTTGGGCGGTAGTGCTCGGACGAGAAGGCGCCGCGCGGTTCGACGGCGTGCCGGGGATCCGACGACACATTCTGCCAGGAGATGTCGGACGGCGGCGCGGGTGTAGACGGGACCGACATGTCGATGCCATTGACTAGGTCCGAGCTGCTCTCGCGGCTGTGTTTGTTGTTGCTGTTGATGTTGTTGGCGGTGTTGGTGTTTTGATTGGTCATGGCAGCGCTGGCGTTCTGTTCAATCGAGTACCGTTCCCGGAGCTCGTTGATGACCCGCCCGCGACCACGTTTGGGTCCCCGTTTCAGAGGAACGTGGTCGCGCTTGCAAGCCAGCGACGCATTGACGCACGGCTGGCACGGAAGTTGGCCATCGCAGCGGATTCCTGGGGTCACGAGTCAGCAGGCGTGAGCCAAGGCGAGAGAAGCATTCTATCAAGGGCGCAGCGTCGACCATGGGAAACTCACTTCGTCGACGGCAGTGGTCGCAGACGGTGCGTTTGGGCAGTGCTTGGCCGGGCCCGTTCTGGGTCTGAGCGGACTCGGCGGCGTCGTTGGTGTAGAGGACGGCCTTGGCGCCGGCCTGGGGTGACGGCGGCGGCGGCGGCGGCGGGAGCGACGGCAGCAAGTCGTCGATACCACCGTCTTCGGTCTTCATTGTCGTGGCGCAAGCACCCACATAGTCTGCCTTTGTGGGCAGCGCGGCACCAGGACTGGGCCGATGCGACCCGACGCCGATGCGTTGGCTGTTGGGTGTGGGTGTGTGCTTGTGTGTATGTCTGTGTGCGTGTCGCGTCGTCGATGTTTTCTATCAATTCTGCAATCGTACAGTGGAGATGAACGTGGACGGACTCGGCGCTCGGTGTAGGAGCAAGCGAGACGGCGTGCAGGGGCCTGTAACCAGTGTCGAGAGAGAAGAAACGAGAGAGAAGAAAGGAATGTTTGCCAGGGCCGGCGTTGGCCTATGACTGACAAAACGCAACGAGACGATGACAGGATGAACGCACAGGCGAGGCTGTCACGATGTTGTCTCTGTGCTGACAGATGGCGGGTGTGTTTTGAGTGAGGAGAAGGAAGAGGAGGAGGAAACAGAAGGGAAAAGGAATGATCGGCTGGAGCCAACCAGGCCGCTGCAGGGTGGCTAGAGCTGCAGCCGTCGCAGCAAACGACAGCAGTTCCAGCAGCTTTACGGAGTACAGACCCTGATCGAGGACGTGGGCGAGGGGCCGGCGTAAGCGAGCGGTGGTCGAGGCTGGTGGTGTGGCCGAGAGGGGAATGGAAAAAAGCAACAGGATAAAATGGGCGATGGAAAATTCAGTCCATTGTTGGCCGCAGACGGCGGGGCTGCGACAATGCGGGGGGGTCTTGCCGGGGGACGTTAGCGAGCGAAGGACGCACGATGAGCGGTGCTGCAGAATTGAGAATCGGGCGTGATTGGCGTGCAAGAGGGAAAGAGCGCTGGGAACGTGGTGAGATGGGAAGGAGGGTGGGCAATGGACACTGTCAACACGGAAGGAGCGGATGGCGAGGATGGTGAGGAAGGAACGAATGAGAGCGTGAAAACCCAGATCTCACAATCTCAGAAATACTTCAATACGAGGGTGCAGCTACGTAGATTGTGGGCAGACTGCAAACTGCCGTCAGAAAGAGGCGACATGCGAAACGTAATGAAAGCCAGACGGACCGATGAGAGTGGGCATGGAGGGAGAGGACGAGGCTAGGAGGCTTGGACGTAACAACAAGTCCATAACTAAGACACAAAAAATTTACAGACGAAAACTGACAAGTCCAAGTATCTCCGCCTTTCGACTGTTGATCATTGGGAAAAAAGGGAAGGTGAGGAAGGCGAGCATAAACAGAAGGTGAACAGATTGTCAAAATGAGGGAAGGAACGACCGCGTCGACTCATACTACATTACTCATACTTCATTTGCGATGGCTGGTTTTTGGCAGCGGCATCGCCGTCGAAAATTTACCCCTTCATTTTCTTTCATTCGTGTCTGAAGTGCGCCTTTGTCTGGGCGTTGCTCTTTGGCCTTTTTTACCTTTATATTGCTCACGGTTGATGCGCGCGCCATGCTCTTTTTTGCCGTTCCGCCTACTTTTGCCTGTAAGGAGTACGAAATATGCACCTTTTTATTCTTAGGCCATTTGAAAACGTTTTTCTTTCTTTTTCTGCTTTTTTCTGCTTTTTTCTGCTTTTTTCTTCTTTGCTCTGCGCTTTAGCGCGGCACTAGCACTGTGCAGACCATCTGCACCAAACCGATTTGGCCCACAGAGGCACAGTCGGTGCGCGATATCGGGTCCCCCCCCATTGGGGCTCTAATGGCGCCCCTGACAGGCGGCTAGCGAGGGTCTAGAGGCCCGCAGACAAATGGCGAACAACGCCAAACAGAAATTGACACCTTGGCCAACTCACTTCACGTTCACTCGACTGTCTGGACCGCAGGGCCGTATTTACCTGGTGTCATTTTTGTTACATTTTCCCTACAGGCCGGATTACGTCATTGGCTGCGCATCCTGCGCAGGACATATCAACGGGCAACACGGCATGCGGTGAGGTTTTTTTTTTTTTTTGTCAACTCCGGGAAGCTAGGACTTTTGACTCGATTGGTTGGGATCTGCATCGAGCTTGATAGCAAGGAATGGCATTGGTCAATTCATTGTTCATTGCCAATCGTCTCCGGCTTGGATTTTATATTTGTGTTCAGCAGATGTGCATCAATTCAATCCACCGTCCGCCATACTTTCACGCCAAGGCCTATCGTGAAAAACACGGAAAAATGATGTTGACTTTATACGAAAAAGTAATAAGTTTGCCTTTCGTCGCAATAGAAAGACCGCCACAGCATCAGGCTTACAGCTCGTCCTTTTTGAATGTTTCCTCGCTGCCCTCGTCGTCGATGTCGTCGCCTGCATTCGGTGCGTCCGTTTCGCCCTCAACCTTTTCGACGGTTACGGTCACCTTGTCCGTGGGCTGCTTCGTCTCCTTTGCGTCGTTCTTGTCGTTCTTGTCCCCGACCTTGTTCTTCGTCTCGTCCGTCTTCTCCGACTTCTCCGTCGCATCGTTGCTCACGCCCCATTCGGCGTCGTCGCCCTCCTCAGGCTCCAGCACCGCCCGGATCTCCAGCGCCGGGTCGCCCGGGTTCTCCACCGCTTCCAGCCGCCATGCACGACCGTCGGCAATCTTGACCAGCTTCCCGACGAGTTCCTTAATCACGTCGTGGCGGATGTTGAGTTCCTTGAGCTCCTCGGTCGAAACAATGGCCACCTCGCCGCCGTTGGCTTTGCTGGCAGCACGCACGAGGACCTTGACGACGCGGCCGTTGTTCGCGAGGAGCTTGGCATCGTTGCCGCCACCAAAATGCTTGGGCGCCTCTAGTTTGAGCGGGGGCTGGCCGTCCTGGCCGCGGCCCAGGGCCTTGCGCGCGCCAATCGTGACGCCGCCGACGACGATGCCGGCCTGGTTGTGCGGTGTCTGGCCATCCTGGCCATCGCCTGCTCTAGCTGTGGCATCTCGGTCCTCTGCCTCGGCGCCGGCGGCCGTTGGAACACCGCGCATTGCCGCGTAGGCTTCAATGGTCTTCTGCTGGTGCCACTGAACGGCCTCTTCCTCGGAGCGGACAATGAGGCGGCAGCTGATGGGGTGGGCGCGGGTGGGCTTGGGGGGCAGGAACGCCGGCTCTTCGCAGAGGCGCGGCGTGCGCACCTCCATCAGGTACGAGCAGGTGGTGACCTCCTTGATCCAGCTGATGCGGTCGTTTGTGCCGCCCGGGTTGCAGTGGTACTGGATCTCGACCGTGCGCTCGCGGCCCGTCAGATCACACACCGTCCCGCCCCCCAAGCGCTGCACCATGTACCGCTGGTCGCCCTTGACCTGCAGCTCCGTGTTGTAGGCGTCGCCGCCTGGTTTGGTCGACGCAGAGCCGCCCAGCGGCTTCTGTACCTCCACGTCCTTGGCGTGTATGGCGTGCGCCTCGGCCTCTCCTTGTGCGGTGTTCTCGTTCTGCCGCTTCTTCATCCGCCCCAGAACGTAGTCTTGGCTGTGCGGATCTTTCACGGGTTTCCCCGTCTTGGTCGTCAGCGCGTGAAACTGCACAATCTCCTTGCCGTAGCAAAAGCTGTAGCTCCACCACCCCGACATGTAGTACAAGCACTCGCCCTCGAGCGTGCTGATGATGTCGACGCCGCGGCCAGACATACGGGCCAATTCACGGGCTTCTCCGGCACGGGCCAGCTCGGCCGCGGTCTGGTTCGGTGGCGGTGGCGGCGCCAAAACGGGGACGGAGCAAAGGTAGCGAGAGGGTGGCATGTTCATGATTTCAAAGGTTTCTGAGATCTGGGTGCCGTCCGCGGCTTCGCTATCATCGTCGTCGTTTGAGTGTGCGCCATTTTGACCAGTTGCCGCCTTGGGTGCAATGTTGTTGGTATGTGATGTTGTGGGTGCCGCAGCAGCGGGATTGTTCTGGTAAGCGCTCGGATCGTGGCGGCCGGCGCCTTCGAGGAGCAGCTGGGCATCCTCTTCGAGAATGTAGGATTCAGAGAAGACGACTTCGAACTGGAGAAGGAGAGGTGGTTAGTATTCAATAATTGGGGAGATCCCTCCACGGCGATACTTACCTGCGGATAAGCAAGAATGTCCTCGTGGATACTAAACCCAGGTTGTCTTGCTGCGCTTAGCTGCAGTGCAGCCAGCAGTGCTAATATGGCGGTTCTCATGATGGTGGTTGTCGGTACATATTCGCAACGTGGTCAGCTCGAGTCGTGTGATGATGAGTGGAGATGGTGCCAGGTGTACTTCTGTAGCTGTCAATGTTCGGACTTAGTAGACACCTTCATTGAGGAAATTACGTGGCGAGCAGCCTTGTCATACGGAGAGTGTCGCACGTGACACGTCATGTGTATCCACGTGACGCGAAATGTACGGTTTTGGGAGATGCACGCGAGGAGATGATAGTTAGTGGAATTCTGTACATGACATTCACATCACCTATTGGCTCCCTCAAGATATCTGCCTCTTGTAAAGAGGCGTCGACACATATCAGAGCTAAGTCACAGATGCCGTGTGAAGTTGGTCACGTGTACTTCACTGTCATCTTTCAGTCAGTAATCACTGGGCGCACTGCGTAGACATGAGTAGTAACAACTTGACACTAGAGCTGTATATAAAGGCGTGGCAATGTATAAGCCCTCAACCCGAAGCATATATAAACCGTTAGCAGACCATTCAATAATGTTGAGAAGAAAAGACATCGGCAATTAAAGATCACAGCCTTGAAATCGACTAGTGACTACAAGCCGGATGAATTGACGAAAAAAGCTGCAACGTCTGCTCTCACAGCACGAAACAAGACATCCTCACAGCACGAAACAAGACATCAAAATAAAAAGACAAAAATATAAAAAATAAAAATAAAAATAAAAAACAGCATCGGCAACACGGAAGAGAGCAGCGAAGATGGGGAAATGGAACTCCCTTTTCGGAAAGAGGCAGTTGCAATCGACGCCTCACGTGGAGCCAGATTCAAGTGGTAAGACCCAGGCATCCACCAAACACACGCCCGGCAAAGACAAGTCTCAAGAAAATAAGGCTGTCACGTCGCCACCCGGACCAACACCGAGACGACCAGCGGAACGGTCGCGAGCGAACCAAGCGGTCTCAACAACGCGTACCCCACCGTCGTTGTACGCCTATACACCACTACCGTCACCACCCAACGACGAATACCTAGCTCCGACAGGCCACGACGACGAGAATGTACCACTTGGACGCCTCCGGGCCCTTTGTCCACACGGACCTTACCAAGAACAACCTGCACAGAAAGTTATCACCACATTACTCACCAAATATGCCACGGCCACCAAGGCCACCAAGGCGACGTGGAAAGCAAGAACGGCAAGTACTCACCACGCAAAGAAGAGACCAACAAGATTCTTGGGCAACATCGCCGTAGTATCACGTCACAATGACATCGATGTGCTCGCCGCGCGTGGCCTGTACAATGCCGCTTGCAGCCCGCTCGTCCGTCTACCAGACGATGTGATTGCACGCATCATGGGCTACCTGGACTGGGACGATCTGTACTTTCTCCGCCACACGAGCCGCGTGTTCATGCGCCTTTTCAGCTGTCGAGATGAGTTTGCCTCGCTGCGCGACGTCAACGCCATCAGCAACAATACCAGCCTCTATGTCTTGCCTACGCCTTGGACCCTGCCGGCCTTTCCGACTGACGACTTCGGCGCATGGTCAACGTTGCGCCAACGCGGCCACCTCGCCGAAGACATGTGTGGAGGCTGCAAGGCCTACGGGCAGTTTCGTTACTACGACATGTTCATGCACTGCACAGCGTGCGAAGCCGACCACCCGATGAGCCTTTTTTCGGGAAAGATGATCCGACGTGATGACAAGGCGATTATGGAGAACCGAGTGTGCCAAGCACACGAAGGACACGTACGGCTGTGTCAGCACAAGACAGTTGACTGGGACACGGTCATCAAGAGTTTACCGAATGGCCGCCTCGACAACAATTTCCGGGATGATTGCTGGGCCAACCAGCTGTCGAGTGCAGAGGTTGACAACACCGCCTTCTCAGTCGACGCTCATCTTCGAATTGTGTGCGACCATCCAAGTCACGCAAAGCATCCCCACCATACGGGCGAGGCCGACGACCGTGTCCAGGGTCAGGGCGAGGCGGACCACACACAGCTTCCTTCATACGAACGCTTCACGACCAAGGACCACGGCGAAAGCCCGTCGTTTGTAGTGCACGACATGATGGTGGACGGTGTACGGCACAAAGTGATTACATGGTCATATACTGCCCACCTGAATCTCGCCGACGCCGACGACAGTAGGCATAACGGAGCTATTACGGCACAGGCCTTCCGGGATCGTGTTCACGAGCTGCACAAGGGGCATAGCCCCGCCCGGTACATTGCACCTCCGGACTACCCGGGCATCCTGCCCGAGCTACGCTGCGTGGACCCAGAGCGCTGTGGCTGACTTGTGTACCAGGGATTCCAGCGACGGGGGGGAGATGCCCCAATCGCTTGTCGGAAACACGAAGTTGTACGGGCGCTTCCAGTCCGCATTTCGGACATTGACCACCTCCGCGTTCGCCTGGCCACCTGCGACCAAGGACCACGCTGTCTCAAGCTGATTTACACACGGATCATACGACTCGAGGGTTTCTACGTCCACCCTTGTCCGTCATGGCCACCAGCTATGATACATGGACCACGCCAGCACAACCAACACTTTTTTCTCCGTTTACGCGATGCATTTAGGAATGCCTCTGTGCCTCTCGGATGGTACCAGGCGTTGGATACCCAGTCGTACCATATGACGGACGATCCTACACGGCACCACTCGCAGTGGTGCCATGGTAAACGTTGCCGTTTGAATCCTGCGTTTCTCCGTGAACGATGTGTGTCGACTGTATACGAGATGAACGGAAATTGTACGACTGGATGCGAAACAACCCAATCAAGTATGTATCATCAAACAGAGCAAAATATAAGGGACGGTTATTATATAACTGTCGGGGTGCAGCATCAGTGGAAGTATTAAGACCATGGCTTATTTACAAAGGTCTCATAACACGCGGCCGACCTGAAGCACAGTCGTTCAAAAATGTTGTTTAAAAAGGATGGCTAAATGGGGAGGTGTGGAAGAAAAAAACGCCAGCGATGTTACTACCACGTGTTTGTTGGATGCGGGCTTTGCGTTATATGGATTTTGTATTGGCGTGGATGTGAACCAGGAGAGCGAGGGAGATGAATGGGAAAAAAGAATTTGAACAACTAGTGATTTAACAACTGTGTCTGCTCCTTACCAACAATTGTGATTTTGATCTAGAGAGGATGAGACTAGCAGAGCCTTTGAGTTAGGTCGCCTGGGGGATATTCATTTTCGACCTGTTGCACGTCATTTTGTGGCTGATAGTGAATGGCGAGAAGAGGTTCATTTGGTGGAAAAGTTGCCCCGTGATGTAATTCCTTTCGACTCAGTCGAAAACCCCCAGTCTCTGGAAGGCCGGTCTCGGCGGAATGCGTATCTTACGCTTGACCCTTTTTTTCTTTTACATAAAATAATCTCACATAACCGTCATTCTCAGAAATATTACTGCCATGTCATCCATCTACATCGTGAATTCGACTCGTTTTCCGCCTCAAGAGCGTGTTTCAAAATGCGTCGTTGCGGACACCCAACAAAGGAAACGACGGAGCAAGGGGACATCCTGCCCCAAAAATGCGGGACTGGCGGGACCCACAACAGTGACACCCCCGTGAGTTGTGTGCCCTGCTGCCTATAACAAGAGGCTCTGCGGAATTTGGGGTTTTACTTTGTGTTTTATTTTATTCCCATATGCAGTCCGGTCAGGTACGCCGTATACTGCACTTGCTTGGGCACCACAGACATGCCCTGCCTGCCGTCAACGTGACACTTGACGTGCACAACTCGAGCTAGGCAGACATTGTGGTTGCCAGCCAAGACTTGCGATGCGGCAGTGCTCCTTTTTGTCTTTGTTGATCTTATTTTATTTTATTTTATTTTTTTCTTCCCTTTTTGACCACTTTTCCGTGTCCTCGGTAACAGTTCCTCAGTCCTCGCCACATCGCCAAGATGATGGGTAATCCGTATTGCCGTCCGGCGGCGGTGCAGCAACTTGCCGGACGCTTTCCCTCCTTGGCTTAGACGGCACTGGCTTTCCGCCTCATGGCATCCAGCCCCAAACTGCCTCTACTGCCACCCTTCGTCTCTGCCTTCTCAGCAGAGCCTCAAAAAGAAAACTCGGAGAGTTTCTGCCTGAGACAACGAGGTCCAGGCTCTCGTTCCATGTCGCAGAACTATGACGAGAAATGGAAAGACTTTAGATCGACAAGAAGCTTCACGGAATCACTGCTCTGCCTCCTTTTCTTCACTGGTATCATGAACGCCGGTTGTGAACTGCAACCCAAGATACGGCCTTCCTTTTTCATTGTACTCGATTTTAATTTGCCTTCTTGTTTTAAATTTCTTTGTACGGGTTTCTTCCGGCCGATCCCCGTCCAAGTCCTCAGGCCACCGAGAGTGGATCGTCCATAGCCATGGTTGGCAAATCACCAACAACGTCTGGTCAGTTGAGTCAGTCTTCTTGTTTTCGTTCTCGCGCCCTTTGCACTTCTCCGGTGGGAATGCCGAATTCTGCTTCGCCCCCCTATCTGTACATGATGTCAACCTCTCGTCAACGTATAACTGTGACTTGACTGAGACTGAGCCTCGTTGGAAACAAAGAGATATAAAGGACGGCCCGGTTCCTCACTTGGAAGGCATCAACTCCTCGTCTCATCCCATACCACACACACTCGTTCTGACGACGTGTTCCTGGTCACTCGGGCACTTTCCCATTCCACTACCATTCAGCGACGACGATCCTGCCGTCTGTTTGTCCCCCTTTCGCACACAAGTATGGCACACAGCATGAGCCGAATGGCGTCTGAGGCACAAGTGGCCGGCCCATCAGACATTGTCCGCCAACAATGGCTGGACCAGGGCATACGAACACGAAAAACCTACATTACTGTCTGGTACTGCGTATGTTGATGTTGCCCCTCCCTATCGTTCTGCTTTTCTTCTTGAGAAACACGTCCAAATTAACGACCACCACTGTAGTGCGACTGCGGCAATGGTCCCATGCTCTTGTCGGACTCTTGCTCTGGCAGCGGCTGCTCGCACTACCGCTGCTCGTACTGCACGGAGGAGGAGATTGAGGAGACGACCGACGACTACATCCTGCAAGCTGCCCTGCAGACGGCTCTGCAGGCACACCACGCCCCGGCATGCTGCTCCTCCAACTGAGGACGGCACCTACTTTTGCTTTTCAGGGCAGATTACGCCAATCCGCGTTACGGCAACAGACGACAAAATACAGAGTGCAGTTTTGCATCAGAGCACTTGGACGGTGCATATTATTTCTCGGATTTCTCTTGTGCGGGCCACAACAGAACAGATTCATGCGGTGGATGTCTTCTTTTCTTCCTTTGTTGTTTCCATAGCTATATTCTCTTATGTCTTCGGTGCTGTGTTACGATGCTACGACGTGTACGTCCAACTCAGCTCAACTTCAATGCCACTGAGTCTTCTACTGTTCCCCTTGTCTCTTTGCAGCCGTGACTCCTCCCAACGATGGTATGACAACATACAAGCTCGGTCATCGTACCAGCCTCTCCACTTTCGATGGCATAACGCACCCCACGGCCCGTGACCTGACTGCTTGGCCCGCCAGGCAGAAAAGCAAAAAAGTGTCATATCTCGATGACGAAATACCTGAGACATTGGCTTGTGCACAAGTGCCATTGGTGGTTTTTGGCAGGAGAGACGAAGGGGAACGACGGGCCACGACCGGGTTGCTTTTGATCAGAAAAAGAAACAAAAAAAGTGTCACATCTGGCTTGTGATCCGCGTTGACTCCTCTCCACGGAACAATATTCGTCAAAAGCGACGCAGCGAGAGTGAGGCAGACCGAAAAAAGGGGGCTGGGTGTACGGTCTGCTGACAGTCGCGCCCTCGCACCGGTAGTGCATCGGTCGCCATTGGACCGAAACCGACCAGTGAGGTCTCAGCCTTGTATGCGGCTCTGCTGGGGTGGGGCACCTCTGCGTTTTGTTTTGATTTGTTTTGGTTCGTTCTGGTTCATTTTGGCCGTTTCTGTGTTTTGGACGAGGGGCGGGGCCTATGGACGCCTAGCGGGGTCTTGATGCAACAGTAGTTTGCCGGCCAGGACTGACAGGACTGATCTTGTCGAAAGCCGCGTCCTGAAGGAGGTCCATAAAGTGGTCGTTGTAGACGCACGAACGTCAACGTCTTCGACGGTACGATTAGCGCCTTGGCACCGTGACAAAAGGCGCACTTTGGAAATTCAAAAGGAAACGAAGACGGAGTAACGGAACAGAAGACGGAGTTGTGCCTCCCGATTGAATGGACCTGAGCTCGTCGGATCACAACTTTTTTCCTGGCAACCAGCAGCCTGCAATGCACATATGCAGGCAACAGGCAGGGTGTTTTACTTTTGCTGTCACCGAAGTGTACGTCCCGTAAGGCGGAGTGAATCACCGCGAAACAGAACCCGATCAAGAAAAATAAAAGAGCCAAAATGTAAATTGACGACCTGCCATCTCACAGCCATAACTTGGCTCGGGTCTCTGTGGCCCTGTGATTGGCTGTTTCGTAAAATACAATGTCACGGAATGCAACACGGAGGACTTTACTCTGTCAGCCTACAAAGGCAGAATGTTGACGCTGGTCCAAAAAAATAAAATAAAATAAAACCTAAACATAAAAAACTTCATGCATTTCGAGGACAAATGATCTCTGCAGCTCTCCGAGACTCAATAATAGCCGAAGCGGGTTGCCTTGGCTGTCCCACGCGCTCCGGCAAATGCACAAGAGTGTGGAGGGGCGGTGCAGAAGGTTACAGGCGCAGGTGCAGGTGCAGCTGCAGGTGCATGTGGTGCCTACAGTAGCGTGCATTCTCTGCCTGTGCAGCTCTGTGAATCGACGACACGACGACCATCACGGAAGACAACAGAAGCTCGTCCGAATTTATTTCGTCACGATGACAAGAGTGGCAAGAGTGTTTGCCGGTGCATTGCTCATTGGAGTATGGCACGTCAGGGCAAGGGCGTGCGGAGTCGCCTTGTAAGGCAGAAAAGACAGGGGGTGTGGGGGAAGAGTTCTGACGAGAGTCACAGCCATCGGTGCGTGGGAATGCGTGGGAATGCGAGAGAAACGACCAAGAACAACATGACCGATAATGAAAACTATGACCAGACGACGAATGAGCTGCCTCAGAAGCACAATTGGCCGAACAACCAAATGCGCCCAAGGAGACCTGCATTGGGTCCGCCACCAACCGTAAGCACTTGCATCTCGATTCCCAGGCAGCAGCAGGCAGAGAAATTGGGCCACTGGTGCGTGACTGTGTGCTGTGTCAATAGACAATTTGCATGGCCATGCATTGT